GATTGCCGAGCCCTGACCGGCCCGCTCACGCCGGCTCAAAGTCTCCGCCGATGGCCGGCGGTCCGTCGGTGCGCACGAGCTCCCGCGCCACCATGTCTTCCAGATGGGCAAGAACGGACAGGCCGGCAGCGCCGTGCAGGCGCGGGTCGGTGTCCCGGTAGATGTTGGCCACCATGGCCGGGATCGTCCGGTCGCCGGCGCGCAGACGTTCAAGGATCGCCCGTTCGCGCATCTTGCGGTGCGTCTTGAGCCCGCGCACGAAGGGGGCCGGGTTGTCGATCGCCCCGCCATGACCGGGCAGATAGAGACGGTCCGTTTCCCCGCGCCGGGCCATTGCGTCAAGCGACGCCATATAGTCGCTCATCGCTCCGTCCGGGGGCGCGACGATCGACGTCGCCCAGCCCATGATGTGGTCGCCTGTAAAAACCGTGCCGGTGCCCGAAAGCGCAAATGCCAGATGGTTCGCCGCATGGCCCGGTGTCGCAATCGTTTCCAGCCGCCAGCCGTCGCCTTCGACGGTTTCGCCATGCTTCAGTGTCCGGTCCGGCACATGCTCGCGGTCGGCCGCCGCATCGAGCGGATTGATCTCGCCGATATGCAGGTCGCGGGCGGCGTGATGGACGGCCGCACCGACGATCGCCGCGCCGGTCAGATCGCGCAGCTTGCGTGAAAGGGGCGAATGGTCGGCATGCGTATGGGTGATGACGATATGGCTGACAGGGCGGCAATCGATGGCCCGGAGAAGCGCTTGCAGATGTTCCGGATCGTCCGGACCGGGATCGATGACCGCAAGCGTCCCGGCGCCGATCAGATAGCTGTTGGTGCCGCGAAAGGTGAAGGCGGAGGGATTGTTGGCGGTGATGCGCGCCACGCCGGCGGTCACCGGAACCGCCTCGCCATAGTGCGGTTCGAAACCCAGCGAAAAGGAAGGGGATTGGCTCACGCGCGGCGCTTTGCTGTTGTCGCCTTTCGGCAGGTCGTGCGGGTCGTCCTATACGACCGATCGGCGCGGCGCGAAAGTGCGGTGCGAAAGCCGGGCGGAAACCGGCGACGCTTTTTCGGGTGCCGCCTTGCGCTCGCCTTCAACCAAAGTACACATTGTCCGTCAGACGATCCGGCAACCGAACCAACCCGGTGCCGGCGCTAGGAGCACATATGACGAACCACACGGCCTTTGTCCTCAATGGCGAACCCATCGCCATACAAGTCCGGCCCGACACGACCGTGCTCGACCTGCTGCGCGATCATCTGGGCCGCAAGGGCACAAAGGAAGGCTGCGCCGAGGGCGATTGCGGTGCGTGCACGATTCTGTTCAGGCGCGGCGGTGATGCAGAAGCGCCGATGCTGGCCGCCAATTCCTGCATCATGTCGGTGGCGCAGATCGATGGCGGCGAGATCGTCACCGTCGAGGGGCTGGCCGGCGAGGGTGCCGTGCTCAACGCCGTGCAGGACGAGATGGCCAAGAACGGGTCTTCTCAGTGCGGCTTCTGCACGCCTGGCATCGCCGTGGCGTTGACGGGCCTTCTGGCGCGCAATCCCGATCCCGACGAGGGCGCGATCCACGACGCTCTGGCGGGCAATCTTTGCCGCTGCACGGGGTACCGGCCAATCGTCGATGCGGCGAAGGCCGCTGCCGCGCGCGTTCGCATCGAACCGGCGCCGGCGGTCGATGAGAACCTTGTGACGTCGCACACCGATGCGGGCGGCGCGACGGCTCACAGGCCGCGCGATCTGCGGGGCCTGCTGATGCTGCGGCGTGACCACCCCGATGCGGTACTGCTCGCTGGCGGCACGGATCTGGGCGTACCGCTGGCCGGTTACGAGACCCGTTGGCCGGAAACGATCACCACCGGCCATGTCGCCGAGCTGCGCCGGACCGACACCGGCGACGATCACTGGACGTTCGGCGCGGCGATCACGTGGGAAGAGGTGCTCGATGCAGTCGGCCAGGACTATCCCTCCTTCGCCACGCTCATCCGCCGTTTCGGCTCGACGCAGATCCGGTCCATGGGCACGATTGGCGGCAATATCGGCACCGCCAGCCCGATCGGTGACGGCCCGCCCGCACTGATCGCGCTCGGCGCGACCATCACGCTCGTTTCGCTTGAAGACGGAGAGCGGACGATGCCGCTCGAGAACTTCTTTCTCGATTACCGCAAGACCCAGCTGCGTGCCGATGAAGTGATCGCAAGCGTCACCGTGCCGCGCGCGAAGGTCGGTGAAACCATGCGGACCTACAAGATCTCCAAGCGCTATGACCAGGACATCTCGACGGTGTGCGGCGCCTATTGGCTTGCTATGGACAACGGAACAGTTGCCGATATCCGCATCGCCTATGGCGGCATGGCGGCAATCCCCACACGCGCGCCGCACGCCGAAGCCGCCTTGCGCGGCAAGGTCTTGACGCCTGAAACCGCGCGCGAGGCCGGAGAAGCGCTTGCCTCGGACTTCAAACCCTTGACCGACTGGCGCGGCTCGGCCGGCTACCGGCAGCGCGTCGCCGCGAACCTGATCGAACGGCTGGCCCGCGATGTGGCCGGCGAAACCGTGGAGGTGATGGCGCTGTGAACGAGCACGTCCAGCCGGTCCACCGAGCCGTCGTCGGCAAGGGCATCGCCCATGACAGCGCGAAGAAACACGTCAGCGGCCAGGCCGTCTATATCGATGACATGGCCGACATGCCCGGCACGCTCCATGCCGCGCTGATCCTGTCGCCGGTGGCGAAGGGCACGCTCAACGGCGTCGATGCATCCGAGGCGGCCGCGATGGACGGTGTGGTCGCGATCGTCACCGCTGACGACATACCCGGCCACAATGACATCGCGCCGATCCTTTCGGGTGAGCCGCTGTTCGCGGACGGCGCGCTCGATTACATCGGCATGCCCGTTGGCGCCGTGGCCGCCGAAACCTTCGAGCAGGCGGTGCGCGCCGCGCATGCCGTGCAATTCGATCTGACGGAAGAGACACCCGTACTTGACATCGAAGAGGCCCATGCGCGCGGCGATCACGTCATCGCGCCGCAGCGGCTGGCCTCCGGCGATGTCGATGCTGCGCTCGAAAAGGCCGACCGCATCGTCGAAGGCCGGCTGGAGATCGGCGGGCAGGATCACTTCTATCTCGAAACCCAGATCGCCTATGCCATTCCGGGCGAGGATGGCGACATGACCGTCCATTCCTCGACCCAGCACCCCACCGAGGTGCAGCACCATGTGGCGCATGTTCTGGGCGGCTTTGCGAACGCCGTCGACGTGCAGGTGCGGCGCATGGGCGGCGGCTTTGGCGGCAAGGAAAGCCAGGCGACGATCATCGCCTGCGCGGCGGCGCTGTTGGCGCGCAAGACCGGCAGGCCGGTCAGGATGCGGCTGAAGCGGTCCGCCGACATGTCGGCGACCGGCAAACGCCACGACATGGTGTCCAAATGGCGGATCGGCGTGACCGATGAGGGCCGCATCGTCGGCGCCGATGTCGAATATCTCGCGCGCGCCGGCAACACCGCGGATCTGACCGGACCCGTGATCACGCGGTCGCTGACCCACACCGACAATGCCTATCATTTCCCTGCCGCGCGCTTTGTCGGCCATGCCTGCAAGACCAACACCGTGTCGAACACCGCGTTTCGTGGCTTTGGCGGGCCGCAAGGAGTGATCACCTCAGAGGCGATGATCGACCAGATCGCGCGCGAACTGGAGATGGACCCAAACCGCGTCCGCGCCATCAACTATTACGGGCCGGATACCGGCGAGACGACGCCATACGGCCAGCCTGTCGAGCAGAACCGGCTCGTCGAAGTCACCGATCTGGTGCTGCAATCGGCGCAATGGCAGCACCGCCGCGCCGAGATCGATGCGCACAACGCTACCGATCCGGTGATCCGGCGCGGCCTGGCGATGATGCCGGTCAAGTTCGGCATTTCCTTCAACCTGCCCTCGCTCAACCAGGCGGGCGCGCTGGTCCATGTCTATCAGGACGGTTCGGTGCATCTGAACCATGGCGGCACCGAGATGGGGCAGGGCCTGTTCGTCAAGGTCGCCCAGGTCGTCGCCGAGGTTTTCCAGCTCGACATCGAAGCGGTCAAGATCACCGCGACGCACACCGGCAAGGTGCCCAACACGTCGCCGACCGCCGCATCGACCGGCTCCGATTTGAACGGCATGGCCGCCTTCAAGGCCGCGACCGCCATCCGCGATCGCATGACGCCGGTCGCGGCCAGGCACTTCGATGTGCCCCAAGACGAGATCGTCTTCCGCGAAGGCCGGGTGCATGCCGGAAACAGGTCGATTTCCTTTGCCGAACTGGCGCGGATGAGCTGGGCCGAGCGCGTCTCGCTGTCCGAGGCCGGCCATTATGCGACGCCGAAAATCCACTGGGACGGCAAGGCGATGAAGGGCCGGCCGTTTTTCTATTTCACCTATGGCGCGGCGGTCGCCGAAGTCGCCATCGACACGCTGACCGGCGAGAACCGTTGCCTGCGCGCCGACATATTGCAGGATTGCGGCGCCTCGCTGAACACCGCCATCGATCTCGGTCAGATCGAGGGCGCTTTCGTCCAGGGCATGGGCTGGCTGACCTGCGAGGAGTTGTGGTGGGACGACAAGGGCCGGCTTCGCACGGTCGGCCCATCGACCTACAAGATCCCCGGCTCGCGCGATGTGCCGCCGGATTTCAACGTCGCGATCCTCGAAAGCGCGCCGAACGCGGAGGAAACCGTCTTCCGCTCCAAAGCCGTCGGCGAACCGCCGCTGATGCTGGCCGTCTCGGTTTGGCTGGCGCTGAGAGACGCGGTCGCCTCCTGCGGCGAGCCGGGCCTGTCGCCCAACCTGCGGACGCCGGCAACGCCCGAGGCGGTGTTGGATGCCATAGACGACATCCGGGCGCGGTCGGCGTAACGCATCCGATGACCGGTCCGGAAGAATATTTCTCCGAAGGCCGGCCGGTTAGACGTTCAGACTTCGCCACGGCGCCGACAAGCGTCTACCCATTGCGTCACCTGACGGAACGCGATGGGCATTTGCCAATCAACCACCATGAGCACGATCATGCTGACATCGCTGATACCCACCGTCCGCCGCGCCGGCCGCGCGGCGCTTGAGGTCTATTCGGGCGACATCGAGGTGCGCCGCAAGGCCGATTGCACACCTGTGACCGAAGCCGACATCGCCGTCGACGAGATCGTCGTCTCGGCCTTGCAAAAGGCCTATCCGGCGATCCCGGTCGTCAGCGAGGAGCGCGTGGCCAGTCTCGAAGCGGCGCGCGGCGCCCATCGTTTCTTTCTGGTCGACCCGATCGACGGCACCAAGGAGTTCATCCGCAGGACCGGCGAATTCACGATCAACATCGCCTTGGTCGAAGGCGGCGTTCCGGTGGCCGGCATCGTCCATGCGCCGGCGCTTGGGCGCCTGTTCATCGCCGAACCGGGCGCGAATGCCGAGGAACTGTGCGAGCGCGACATACGCACCGCGCTCAAGGTGCGCCCGTGCGGCGACGACAGCGACCTGGTGGCGCTTGCGAGCCGGTTTCACGATTCCGCCGCGACGCGCGCCTTCCTGCGCGACCATGCGATCGAAAGCTGCATCACCGCCGGCTCGTCGCTCAAATTCTGTGTGCTGGCCGCGGGCAAGGCTGACATCTATCCGCGCTTCGGCCCGACCATGGAGTGGGACACCGCTGCCGGCCATGCGGTGCTCGCTGCCGCAGGAGGCGAAGTGGTGACCGCCGACGGCCAGCCGCTCGCCTACGGCAAACCCGGATACCGCAACCCCGATTTCATCGCCTCGTCGCCCGGAGCGCGCGCACGCTGCATGGGCAAATCCGCCGGCACCGGCACCTGACACCGAAGGACACCGCCATGTCGACCCTGACGCATCTTGACCGTCTGGAAGCCGAAGCCATCCACATCATGCGTGAAGTGGTGGCCGAGGCGGAAAACCCGGTCATGCTCTATTCGATCGGCAAGGATTCGGCGGTGATGCTGCATCTGGCGCAAAAAGCGTTCTATCCGGCGCCGCCGCCCTTTCCCCTGATGCACATCGATACGACCTGGAAATTTCGCGAGATGATCGCGTTTCGGGACCGGATTCCGGACGAGACCGGCATGGAGCTGATCGTCCACACCAATCAGGACGGGCTGGCACAGGGCATCGGCCCGTTCACCCACGGCTCGTCGGTGCACACCGATGTGATGAAGACACAGGCGCTGCGCCAGGCGCTCGATCTGCACAGGTTCGACGTGGCCTTCGGCGGCGCGCGGCGCGACGAGGAAAAATCCCGCGCCAAGGAGCGCGTCTTCTCGTTCCGCACCGTCGACCATCGCTGGGACCCCAAGAACCAGCGGCCCGAGCCGTGGAAGCTCTACAATCCCCGAAAGCGGCCGGGCGAATCGATCCGCGTCTTTCCGTTGTCCAACTGGACCGAGCTCGACATCTGGCAATACATACACCGCGAGGGGATCGAACTGGTGCCGCTTTACTTCGCCGCGCCCCGGCCCGTGGTCCAGCGCGATGGTATGCTGATCATGGTCGATGACGAGCGTATCCCGCTGCATCCCAACGAAGTGCCGCAGACCAGACATGTCCGCTTCCGTACGCTCGGCTGCTACCCCTTGACCGGCGCCGTCGAGAGCGAGGCGACGAGCCTGCTCGACATCATCCAGGAAATGCTGCTGGCGACGACATCCGAACGGCAGGGCCGGGCCATCGATCATGACCAATCGGCATCCATGGAGAAGAAGAAGCAGGAAGGCTATTTCTGATGGCCCACTATGCATCCGATCTGGCGGCCGATGACATTGCGGCCTACCTGAAATCGCACGAACAGAAATCGCTCCTGCGCTTCCTGACCTGCGGCAGCGTGGATGACGGCAAATCGACGCTGATCGGCCGGCTGCTCTATGAATCCAAGCTCGTTTTCGAGGACCAGCTCGACGCGCTCTATGCGGATTCGCGCAAGTCGGGCACGCAGGGCAACCGGCTCGATCTGGCGCTCCTGGTCGACGGGCTGGCGTCCGAACGCGAACAGGGCATCACCATCGATGTCGCCTACCGCTTCTTTTCGACCGAAAAGCGCAAGTTCATCGTCGCCGATACGCCGGGCCATGAGCAATATACGCGCAACATGGCGACCGGCGCTTCCACCGCCGATCTGGCGATCATTCTGGTCGATGCGCGCAAGGGCATCCTGACCCAGACGCGCCGCCACTCCTTCATCGTTTCGCGTCTGGGCATCCGCAACATCGTCGTCGCCGTCAACAAGATGGATCTCGTCGATTATGACGCGGCCGTCTTCCGCCGGATCGAGCGCGAATACCGCCTGCTCGCGCGTGCGCTGGGCACCGAGCCCGATATCACGGCGATCCCCATCTCGGCGCTTGAAGGCGACAATGTCATCGAACCCGGCGCTTCCATGCCCTGGTATGACGGGCCGACGCTCATGGACCATCTCGAACAGGTCGAGATCGGCGGCGACCGGTCCGACAAGCCGTTCCGGCTGCCTGTCCAGTGGGTCAACCGTCCGAACCTCGATTTCCGCGGCTTTGCCGGCCAGATTGCCGGCGGCTTCGTCGGTGTGGGCGATCCGGTCACGGTCCTGCCCTCCGGTCGGCAGAGCACGGTGACCGGTGTCATTGGCGCCAATGACGATGCGCAGGGCGCCGTCGCGGGCCAGTCGGTGACGCTGACGCTGGCCGACGAGATCGACGTCTCGCGCGGCGACATGATCGTCGGCACGGGCGCGCCGGCGCAGACCGGCGACCGGTTCGAGGCCACCATCATCTGGATGGCGGACGAGAAGATGTTCCCGGGCCGCGCCTACCAGATCAAGACCGGCAGCGGCACCGCGCAGGCAACGCTCGGCCCGCCCAAACACCGCGTGGACATCAACACGCTCGCCGAGGAGCCCGCGCGGGACCTGGCTCTGAATGAAATCGGCGTTTGCCCGGTCACGCTCGACCGGACGATCGCGTTCGACCCCTATGACGACAATCGCGAGACCGGCGGTTTCATCCTGATCGACAAGCTGACCAATGCGACCGTCGGCATGGGCATGATCCATCATGCGCTCAACCGGTCCGACAACATCCATTGGCAGGCCACCGACATCGGCAAAATCGAACGGGCACAGATGAAGGGCCAGCGCCCTTGCGTCGTCTGGTTCACCGGCCTTTCGGGATCGGGCAAGTCGACGATCGCCAATCTTGTCGAGAAGAAACTCGCCGCCAACCAGGCGCACACCATGCTGCTCGACGGCGACAATGTGCGGCACGGGCTGAACAAGGATCTGGGCTTTTCCGATGCCGACCGCGTCGAGAACATCCGCCGGGTCGCCGAGGTCGCGCGGCTGATGACCGAAGCGGGCCTCATCACGCTCGTCTCCTTCATTTCGCCGTTCCGCGCCGAGCGGCGGCTGGCGCGCGACCTGGTGCCCGATGGCGAATTCTTCCTCGTTCATATCGACACGCCGTTGGAGGTCGCCGAACAGCGCGACCCCAAGGGGCTCTACAAGAAGGCCCGTGCCGGCCGGATTCCGAACTTCACCGGCATCGGCTCTGCCTATGAGCGGCCCGAAAAGCCGGATCTGCGCATCGATACGTCCGCGCTGAGCGCCGACGAGGCGGCCAACCGGGTGATCGGCGAACTGGTGGCGCGGGGAATTGTTCCGGGGTGAAAAGCCGGTCCTAGGCGTTTCGGCGAACTTGCTTTATCGCGCCCGCTTGGCGAACAATGCGCCAAACGGGAGTTGTAATGCAGTTCAAACCGCCCAATGTCGCCTTGACCGGCCTTGCCGCCGAGCTGCGCCGGCGCGCCGAGGATGGCAATCCGATCCGTATCGGCATGGTCGGCACCGGCGAGATGGGCACCGACATCTTCACGCAGGTTGCGATGATGGACGGCATCGAGATCGCCACCGTCATGGAGCGCACGCCCGGCAGGGCCGAGCAGGGCGCGACGCTCGCCTATGGCGAGGCGGGCCGCACGCAGGCGGTCTCCAGCCACGATGCGGCATCGGCTGCCATCGAGGCTGGCAGGATCGCCGTCACCGACGATCTCGATCTGGCCCTGTCGCATGATCTGGTCGATGTGGTGATCGACGCGACGGGCGTGCCCGAAGCCGGCGCCGATATCGGCATGCGCACGATCGGCTTCGGCAAGCACCTGATCATGATGAATGTCGAATGCGACGTCTGCATAGGGCCTTACCTCAAGCATGAGGCTGACAAGGCGGGCGTCGTCTACACGCTGGGCGCCGGCGACGAACCCTCCTCCTGCATGGAGATCATCGAGTTCGTCACCGCCATGGGCCATTCGGTGGTCTCGGCTGGAAAGGGCAAGAACAACCCGCTCAATGTCGATGCGGTGCCGGACGATCTTCAGGAAGAAGCCGATCGACGGAACATGAATGTCCGGATGCTGGTCGAGTTCGTCGACGGCTCAAAGACGATGGTGGAGATGGCGGCCATCGCCAACGCGACCGGTCTCGTGCCTGACGTGCCCGGCATGCACGGTCCGCGCGCCACGGTCGACCAGTTGGCATCGGTGCTGATCCCCCAAGCCGATGGCGGCGTCCTGTCGAAGCCCGGATGCGTCGATTACTCGATAGGCAAGGGCGTGTCGCCGGGCGTCTTCGTCGTGATCAAGGCCGAACACCCGCGCATTCACGAGCGCATGGCCGATCTGAAGATGGGCGAGGGGCCTTACTTCACCTTCCATCGGCCCTATCATCTGACCTCGCTGGAAGTGCCGCTGACCGCCGCGCGCATCATGCTGCACGGCAGGCCGGACATGGTGCCGCTGGAAACGCCGGTCGCCGAAGTCTGCGCGGTTGCCAAGCGGGACATCGCGGCCGGTGAGACGCTCGGCGCGGTTGGCCAGTACTGCTATCGGTCCTTCACGATGAACGCTACCGACGCGCGATCGGCGCGCGCCATCCCGTGCGGACTTCTGGAAAAGGGCAGGGCGCTCAGGCCGATCGCCAAGGGTGATCTTCTGACCTGGGACAACGCCATGCCCAAATCCGGATCGATGATCGCCGACCTGCGCGCCCGTCAGGATGCGATGATATGGGGCAGCACTCCGGCGCAGGCCGTGCCCGCCGAATAGGGCGCGCCGAAAGGGCGCATCGCCGATCGACACAGCCCGGTTGGCCTGAATGGCGCCTGCCGTTAGAAGTTCCAGAAAGTGATTTCCGGAGTGCCGGGGTGGCAATGGCTTGCGTCGGCCACATTGCGCTGTAAAGCACGCTCGTTGCCTGGTTATGCCGGTATTCATTGACACGGAGCCGGACACGAGTGACAATTCAAGTTGACACTTTTTTGTGTCATACATTGTTGCATCGTTGCCTTGACGGCATACGAGACCCTGCGGGAGGCAGACTGCATGAGTATGGGACCCGATACCCCGCTTCTGGATACGGTCCGCACGCCAGCGGACCTGCGCGCGCTGCCCGATGACCGGCTTCCGCAGCTTGCCGACGAATTGCGCGCCGAGTTGATCGATGCGGTCAGCCAGACCGGCGGTCATCTTGGCGCCGGCTTGGGCGTCGTCGAACTGACAATCGCCATCCATCACGTCTTCCACACGCCGCACGACCGGCTGATCTGGGATGTCGGTCACCAGTGCTACCCGCACAAGATCCTGACCGGACGCCGCGACCGCATCCGCACGCTGCGCAAGGAAAACGGCCTGTCCGGTTTCACCAAGCGCGCCGAGAGCGAGTATGACCCGTTCGGCGCGGCCCATTCCTCGACCTCGATTTCTGCCGGCCTCGGCATGGTGGAAGCGGCGCGCCTGCAGGGAATCGAGCGCAACGTGATCTCGGTCATCGGCGACGGGTCGATGTCGGCGGGCATGGCCTATGAGGCGATGAACAATGCCGGCCACATGGATGCGCGGCAGATCGTCATTCTCAACGACAACGATATGTCGATCGCCCCGCCGACCGGCGCGATGAGCGCCTATCTGGCGCGGCTGGTGTCCGGTCGCACCTATATCTCCCTGCGCGAAGCGGCCAAGCAGCTTTCCAAGCGCATGCCCAAATTCATCCAGGACAAGGCGCGCAAGACCGAGGAGTACACCCGCGCCTTCTTCTCCGGCGGCACGCTCTTCGAGGAGCTGGGCTTCTTCTATGTCGGGCCGATCGACGGCCACAATCTGGACCATCTGCTGCCGGTCCTGCGCAATGCGCGCGATGCCGGCGTCGGCCCGATCCTGATCCACGCCATCACGCAAAAGGGCAAGGGCTACGCCCCCGCCGAGGCCGCCGCCGACAAGTATCACGGCGTCGCAAAGTTCGACGTGATTACCGGCGCACAGGCCAAGGCCAAGCCGAACGCGCCCAGCTACACCAAGGTGTTCGGCCAGTCGCTCATTCAGGAAGCGGAAACGGACGACAAGGTCGTCGCGATCACCGCGGCGATGCCTTCGGGCACCGGCGTCGACATTTTCGGCGACGCCTTTCCCGGGCGGACATATGATGTCGGCATTGCCGAACAGCATGCCGTGACCTTCGCCGCCGGTCTGGCCGCCGACGGCATGAAGCCGTTCTGCGCCATCTATTCGACCTTCCTGCAGCGCGCCTACGATCAGGTCGTGCACGATGTGGCGATCCAGAAGCTGCCGGTGCGGTTTCCGATCGACAGGGCGGGCTTCGTCGGCTCCGACGGTCAGACCCATGCCGGTTCGTTCGATATCGCTTACCTTGGCTGCCTGCCGGGCATGGTGATCATGGCCGCCGGCGACGAGGCCGAGCTCAAGCACATGGTCCGGACTGCGACGGCCTATGACGAGGGGCCGCTGGCCTTCCGCTATCCGCGCGGCGAAGGCGTCGGCGTGGATATGCCCGAGCGCGGCGAGGTTTTGGAGATCGGCCGTGGCCGCATCGTCCGCGAAGGCGGCAAGGTGGCGATCCTGTCGCTGGGCGGACGCCTGAAGGAGGCGTTGCTCGCCGCCGAGCAGCTTGGTTCCTTCGGCCTGCCGGCAACCGTGGCCGACGCGCGCTTTGCCAAGCCGCTCGATGCCGAACTGATCGGCCAGCTTGCCCGCAACCACGAGCTTCTCATCACGGTCGAGGAAGGCTCGGTGGGCGGGTTTGGTTCGTTCGTGGCCCAGCACCTGTTCGATCAGGGGCTTCTGGACAACGGCTTGAAGTACCGGTCGCTGTTCCTGCCGGACCGTTTCGTCGACCAGGCCTCACCCGACCGCATGTACGCCCAGTCGGGCCTCGATGCCGATGGCATCGTCAAGGCCGTGTTTGGCGCGCTGGGGCGGCAGGAGGCCGAGCAAACAGGCGCGATCATCGCCTGAGTCAACGGGAGATTCGATCGCTCGCAACCCGATTTGTTCCGTGCGAATGCGGCGGCCCGGGGCTATAGAACCGGCGCCCGGCGCGGTTGGAATCCGCCTGAGACGCGATATCGGAGTGTAGCGCAGCCTGGTAGCGCACCTCGTTCGGGACGCCTTGGTCTCCATAGAAAAAGTTCATACACTGTAGCAGGTTAGACGATTGTGCCATGCTTATGGTGGCGTTCGCGTGGGAATATGCGCGTCGAGTTGACCGCCTCGCTCGACCGCATTTGGCCTGCACGTGGCGGCAGGGCCGACGTTGCCGAAGTGCCATCTATGTTCCCCTTTGTGACACGTTACGTGATCAAGGGAGCGGCACAATCCCGTGACAGGTCCATGTGCAAGCGAGGCCCGGAGCCTCGCCGATCTGGCGATCAATATCGTGGGCGATGGCCGATGGCGTTCGACGCGGCGGCCCGGCTGCAGACGGTCAGGGCACGGCGATTTTCAAAAGATATCGCATGACCGCATAGAAGGCGCCGATGAGGATGATGCCGTTGAGCGCGTGAAGCGCCGCCGCCTTTGCGGCCATCGGTTCACGGCGTGCGGCGAGGGTGATGGCGAGCATCCCCAGCGCCGAGGTGATCACGAAGCCCAATGGCTTCAGCAGGACGGCCCATGCGAACAGCGTGATCACGGCGTAGGCAAACCGCTTCCATTCGGTTGGCGGCGCGGTCTGCCGATTTGCGGGCCGCATGAAGCCGAGCGCGAGGATCGCCGTGGCGCCGGCAATCAGCACGATGGCCGCGGTCACCGGGAACACGGCACCAAGGTCCGACATGGTGCGCGCTTCGTAGAGCGCGTAGGCACCGAAGGTCAGGGCAATGGCTGCCGCGATGATGTCGGGTGCGGAGATGCCTACCGGCCGATTGGGAGAGGCGCTCATGGCGTTGCGCCTTTCTCTTGCATGCGCCCTCGTCGCCAGTTCACGAGCGCCGGGGAGGCAAGTGTCAAGACGATCATGAAGATGATCGCCAGAGACAGGGGGCGCCCGAAGAACATCGCCGGAATGCTGCCTTGCGCGCCGCCTATCAGCCAGGCCTGGACGAACCCGGCTTCGGCGATGGGGCCGAGGATGAGGCCCAGGACGATGGGCGATGCCTCAAAGCCGACGCGGGCGATCAGCCATCCGAAAACGCCCAGCACAACCATGATGACGACATGGACGGTGTTGGACTCGATGGCGAACGAGCCGATGACCGTGAGCAGGGCAATGGAGGGCGCCAGCACCGTCTTCGGGACCGAGACGATCAGCCGGAACGCGTAGCGGCCGATGATCAAGCCGGTCGGCAGCATGAACAGCGTGCCGATGATCAGGCCGAAGACGAATGTGTAGACGATGTCGGCCTGTTGCGTGAAGAGTTGAGGCCCGGTGCGTATGCCCTGCACCAGCAGAGCGCCCAGAATGATCGCGTCCGGCGGCGTTCCGGGAATGCCGAGAACCAGGGTTGGGATGAAGCCGCCGCCGACGGTCGCCGAGTTCGCCGCTTCCGATGCGATGACGCCATCGGTGGCGCCGTGCCCGAAATCTTCCGGCTTCTTCGAGGTGCGCTTGGCTTCGGAGTAGGCGATCAGACCGGCGACCGAGCCGCCGGCAGCCGGCAGGATGCCGACGGCCGTGCCGAGCACGGCAGAGCGGAAGAGATTGAATTTCGACCGCAGCATGAGGCCGACGGCCTCGGTGAACCGGAAGCCCGAAACCGCCTCGGCCCTGCGCTCGAGATGCGCCTCCTTCTTGATCACCAGATCGATCAGCACGGGAATGCAGTAAAGGCCGATGAGGGCGGGAATGACGGGAATCCCGCCAAGGAGCTGCGTCTGGCCGAAAGTGAAGCGGACGTCGCCGCCGACGACGGCGGACCCGACGCAAGACAGGATCAGGCCGATGGCGCCGCCCACGAGCCCCTTGACGGTGTTCCCCCGCGACAGTGTCGCGATCAGAGAAAGGCCGAAGATTGCGAGCCAGAAGTACTCGACCGGACCGAATGCGAGCGCGACCTGCGACAGGGGCGGGGCAAGCAGCAGCAGGGCGAGCGCGCCGACCATGCCGCCGACGACCGAGCCCAGGCACGAGAGTGTCACCGCCAGGTCGCCGTCGCCGCGCTTGGCCATGGGAAAACCGTCCATTGAGGTGGCGATGGCGGCGGGTGTTCCCGGCGTGTTGACGAGGATCGCCGAATAGGCGCCGCCATAGATCGCGCCGGTGTACACCGCACCCAGAGCAATCAGCCCCGAGGCGGGGTCCATGGTGAAGGTGAAGGGGACCAGAACGGCCACCGCCATGGTGGCCGACAGACCCGGAAGCGCCCCGATGAACGTCCCGGCGATGACGCCGAACAAGGCAAGCGCCAGGTTGAACGGGGTTATCGCATTCAGAAGGGCATCGATCACGGAGACGCTCCGGGTCCGGGGAGTGCGGGGTCAGTTCGATGCGCGAAGCTGCTCGATGCCGCCTGCATAGTCGGCCTTGCGGTCAGCCAGCCACTGATCGATCTCCCCTGTCGGGATATCGACCGGCACATATCCGTTGTCGATCAGCTGCTGCCGGAATTCCGGAACGGCGTTGATCTCGCCGATGATGTCCGAAAGGCGCTGGCGCACCTCCTGCGGCGCGTCCTTGGGCAGGGTGACGCCGCGATAGGCCCCGCCAACGAAATCGAAGCCCAGCTCGTTGAACGTGGGCACGTCAGGATAGGCCTCGATCCGCTCGGGTGTCGCCACGGCGAGGACACGCACCTGGTCGCCGGCCTTGATGCCCTGGGTGGTGTAGGTCATCGCCGCCTTGATCTGACCGCCCAGAACAGCCGCCATTGCCGGGGCCGACCCCTTGAAGGGAATATAGGTGGTCTTGGCGCCGGTCATCTGGTCGAAGCGCACGGCCGCCAGATGGTTGGCGGAGTTTGTCCCCGAACCGCCGAAGGTGACGGTGCCGGGATTGGCGGTCGCGTCGTCGATGAGATCCTGCAGCGTCTGGTAGGGGCTGTCGGCCCGCACGACGATCGCGTCGGGCGTGTAGTGGAAGATGTAGGCCGGCGCGACATCCTCGGTCTGGTAGCCGACATCCTTCATCGCCGGCTGCAGGATGGCGTGCGGGAAGTTGACGTTCATGATGGTGTAACCGTCGGGCTCGAAGCCGTTCAGCTGCGCCCATGCCGTCGCCCCGCCCGCGCCCGGCTTGTACTGGATCACGACATCCTGACCGGTGATGCCCTTGAAGTGCTGCTCCTGAAACCGTGCGGTCACATCGGATTCGCCGCCCGGATTGTAGGGAATGATGTAGGTGACCGGGCGTTCGGGATAGTCGGCCTGGGCCGGCGCGACCGCCGCGGCCAGGCCAAGCGCGGTCAGCGCAATAAGGCTTCTTCGTGCAATCATGATTTCCTCCCATCACTGATTTCGGCGAAAGCCGTGGCAAAACGCTACGCGAAGGCGGAAAGGCGATTGAGAAGAAATCAATTATAAATATTATTGATGGCCGTCGGGGAGAGGAGGGCCCATGGAGTTCAAGCAAGCGCGGATATTCGTCGCCGTCGCCGAGGAACTGCATTTCGGCAGGGCCGCCGAGCGCCTGCACATGGCTCAGCCCGCCCTGTCCGCCCAGATCAAGCATCTGGAAGCCGAACTGGGCCTGAAGCTCTTCGAGCGCACGACCCGGCGGGTTTCGCTTACGCGGGCCGGCGAGGCGTTCCTGCCCGAGGCCAAGGCCGCCATCGCGCAGGCCGAGGCGGCGGTCGCGGCGGCGCGGGCGATGGCCGGAGAGCATGATCTTCTGAAAATCGGCGGGGTCGATTCGGCAACAGCAGGATTGCTGCCGCGCATCGTCCGGCGCTTTCGCAATCGAAACTCCGCGGTCGAGCTGAAGATCTTCGAGCTGCTGTCGGCGCCCGCCCTGCATGATCTGGCCAATCGCTCGCTGGACATCGGCTTCGTGCGCATCCGGCCAAAGCAGGACCATCTCGCATCGGCATTCGTGTTCACCGAGCCGGTGGTCGCGGTGCTGCCGTCCGACCATGCGCTCGCAGGAGAAAAAGCGGTCGCCGCGAGCGAACTCGGCGGGGAGCCGCTGGTCATCCCCTCGCGCTCGCACCGGCCCATCCTGTTCGACGTCATCCACGACTATCTGCGCGGGCACGGCGTCGAGCCCAACATTCGCCAGGAGGCCAATGAACGCCACATGATCATCTCGATGGTAGCGGCGGGGCTTGGCATTTCACTGGTGCCGGAGTGGGTGAGCCAGTTCAAGCGGGACGATGTCGTCTACCTGCCTTTGGCCGATGGCGGCCCGAGCGTCGATGTTCATATCGCCTGGCGGCAGAACGACCCCATGGACGTCGTGCACGAGTTCGTGCGTTGCGTGCTCGAGCCGGATTGATCGGCGAAAATTAATAATCATACGGATTGGACTTGAACGAACCGGGGCCGCCTTATCTCACCATGTTCGACGGTTTCACGCAGTTTCAAACCCAGGTCGGCGATGTGGTGCTGCGCGGTGTTGCCGGCGGCTCGGGTCCGGCCGTGCTCCTGCTGCACGGTTATCCCCAGACCCATGTGATGTGGCACAAGGTTGCGCCCGTCCTTGCGCGCCGGTTCACCGTGGTTGCCGCGGACCTTCGCGGCTACGGCAAGTCGTCCAAGCCGCCCAGCGTGGCGGATCATTCGACCTATTCGAAACGGTCCATGGCAAACGACATGGTGTCGCTCATGGACCGGCTCGGACACGGTCGGTTTTGCGTCGCCGGGCACGATCGTGGCGGCCGTGTCGCCCACCGGTTGGCGGCGGATCACGGGGACCGGGTGGAACGCCTGGCGGTGCTCGACATCGCGCCGACACGGGAAATGTATGCCAACACCAGTGATGGCTTTGCCCGCGCCTACTGGCACTGGTACTTCCTGATCCAGCCCGCACCGTTTCCGGAACGCATGATCCTTGCCGACACCGATGCCTATTGGCGAAAGAAGTGCGGAAGCGGCAGCGCGGGCATGGCGCCGTTCACCCAGGCGGCGCTGGACGATTATCTGAGCTGTTTCGGCGATCCGGAGACAGTGCGCGCGAGCTGCGAGGATTATCGCGCCGCGGCAACCATCGACATCGACCATGACAATGCCGATGACGGGCGCAAGCTTGAGTGCCCGCTGCTCGCGCTGTGGGGCACCAACGGCGTGATAGAGCAGCACTTCGATTGCCTGGCGCTGTGGCGGAGAAGGGCGAAAGACGTACGCGGCCAGGCGATCCCCGGCGGTCACTATCTGGCCGAGGAATGCCCCGACATGGTGGCCGACCACCTGATCAGTTTCATGAGCGAGGAAAGCGTCCATGGCGCAGCATAAGCGGTACTCCATTGCCACGATCCCCGGAGACGGGATCGGCAAGGAGGTGATTCCGGTCGGCCAGCGCGCCGCCGAGGCGGTTGCCGCAAAGCACGGTTTTGCGCTTGAGTGGACCCGTTTCGACTGGTCGTGCGAGCGATATGAGAAGACCGGCCGCATGATGCCCGAAGACGGCATCGAGCAGGTCAAGGCGCATGACGCGATCTATCTGGGCGCGGTAGGCTGGCGGGGGGTGCCGGACCATGTGTCGCTGTGGGGGCTTCTCATCCCGTTGCGCCGCGAACTGGACCAGTATGCCAATGTGCGTCCCGTGCGCCTGTTGCGCGGCGTTTCGTCACCGCTCGCCAACCGGAGGCCCGAGGAGATCGATTTCATCGTGGTGCGCGAGAATGTCGAGGGCGAATATTCGGAGATCGGCGGCCGGCTCTATCGCGGCACGGCGGACGAGGTTGCGGTGCAGGAAGCGGTCTTCACCCGCCGCGGCGTCGACCGCATCATGGACTACGCGTTCACCCTCGCACGCGGACGCAAGCGCAAGCACGTCGCGTCGGCCACGAAGTCAAACGGCATCGTTCACACCATGCCGTTCTGGGACGAGCGCTTCGAAGCGGCGAAGAAACGCTTCCCCGACGTCGAAACAGCGCAATATCACATCGACATTCTCACCGCGCACTTCGTTCAGCACCCCGACTGGTTCGATGTCGTCGTCGGCTCCAACCTGTTCGGAGACATCCTGTCCGATCTGGGACCGGCGGTGGCCGGGTCGATCGGCATCGCGCCCGCCGCCAACATCAATCCCGAGGGCGCCTATCCATCGATGTTCGAGCCTGTCCACGGTTCGGCGCCCGATATCGCAGGACAGGGCATTGCCAATCCCGTCGCCGCCGTATGGACGGCCGCGATGATGCTTGACCATCTCGGCGAGGTACAGGCGGCAAGAACACTCGAGGAGGCGATCGAGATATCGCTGGAGAGGCCGCAGTCCCGCACCCGCGATCTGGGCGGAACGGCGGACACGAAAGCGAGCGAGGCCGCCATTCTGGACGCCATCCATTCGCTCTGAAAGGCCGCTCTGCCGCTGGGCGGCCGGGCAGGGGAGATCGCCCGGCCACTGTCGCGATGCCGCCGGCCTACTGAGGCTGCAGCGAGTCAGCCGTTCCCTGGATGAACGCCACAAGGTTGGCAACGTCTTCGGCCGTCAGCTTGTCCGCGAAGCTTGGCATTCCCCGGTCGACACCTATGCCCTCCAGAACCCAGGCTTCAGCATCCATCAGCGTGCCGGCGTCGGAATATCCCAGATTGGGAATCGCGCCGCCATTGTTGACGCCCGGCACGCCGTGACAGAACAGGCAGTTGGAGACATATGTCGCAAGCCCCGCCGAAATGTGCTCGGGGTCATAGGGCACGCCGGAGACCAGTTCGGTGCGCATGGACATCTCCGCCTCCGGCATCTGCGCATCGGCGCCGACGCGGAAAGTGAAGACCCTGCCGGCGCCCACGCGGTCGGTCGCCCGCTGCATCAGGCCGTAGACGCCGCCCCATCCGACGGCAATCGTGACATACTGCTCGCCTTCATGCTCCCAGGTGTTGGGGGCGGCCACGACGCCCGAGGTCACCGGGACCTGCCAAAGGAGGGCGCCATCGGTGGCATTGTAGGCGATGAAGCGGCCATCGGCGGTGCCCTGGAACACCAGGTTTCCGGCCGTGGTCAGCGTGCCGCCGTTCCATGGGCTGACATATTCGGCGCGCCAGACCTCGCGCTGCTCGACCGGGTCCCAAGCCAGAAGATGACCGAACGGGGTCGCTTCGGGTGCCACGACGTTGAACAGATAGCCAAGGTTCCAGCCGACACCCGACATGGTCGACATCGGCCGGTGGCTATTGAGTTCCCAGTTGGGATCGGTGGCCTGCACCAGCGGTACGCCCTGGGCCGGAATGTAGACCAGACCGGTGTCCGGATTGTAGCTCATCGGGTGCCAGTTATGTGCGCCATAGGCCGACGGCACGGTTTCGAAGGGTTCGTCCTTGGACCGCGCGGCGGGGTTTTCGATCGGCCGGCCATCTTCGCCATAGGCCGTCGCCCAGGTCGTTTCGACGAACGGCTCGGCCGAAATGAACTCGCCGGTGACCCGATCGATCACGTAGAAGAAGCCGTTCTTGGGAGCCTGCATGAGGACCTGGCGCGTCTCGCCGCCGATCTCAAGATCGGCCAGGATGATGTGCTGGGTCGAGGTGTAGTCCCAGGTGTCGCCGGGCGTGTTCTGGTAATGCCAGACATATTCGCCCGTGTCGGGGTTCAGTGCGACGATCGACGCCAGGAACAGGTTGTCGCCGCCCGCCGGGCTCCTCAGATGCTGGTTCCAGGGGCTGCCATTGCCGGTGCCGATGTAAAGCAGGTTCAGGTCGGGGTCGTAGGCCATGGCATCCCAGACCGTACCGCCGCCGCCGGCTTCCCAATAATTGGCCGACGGGTCCCAGGTTTCGGCGGCCATCTCCATGGCCTCGTTCTCGAACGGCTCGGACGGATCGCCCGGCACGGTGTACCACCGCCAGTTTTCCTCGCCGGTTTCCGTATCATAGGCGGTGATATAGCCGCGCACGCCGAATTCGGCGCCGCCATTGCCGATGATCACCTTGCCGTTGATCACCCTGGGCGCGCCGGTGATGGTGTAGGACATGTCCCGGTTTTCGATCGTGTCGACCCGCCAGACCCGCTCGCCGCTCGCCGCATCGATGGCGTGCAGATAGCCGTCGAAGGCGCCGACATAGACCTTGCCGTCATAGACGGCGACACCACGGTTCACCACATCGCAGCAGCCGCGCTTGCCGAAGTCGCCCGGGACCTCGGGATCATAGACCCAGAGCGGCTCTCCGGTCACCGCATCGAGCGCATGGACGATCGACCATGAGGCCGTCACATACATCACGCCATCGACGACGATGGGCGTGGATTGCACGCCGCGGTCCGAATTGAGGCTGTAGGACCATTGCAGGCCCAGTTCGCCGACATTTTCCGTGTCGATGGCGTCGAGCTGGGAGTACCGGGTCTCGGCGTAGTTCAGTCCGTAATTCAGCCAGTTCCGGTCGTGGGCGTCATTGGCGATGATCGCCTCGGTATCGATCGCGCCCACGGCGGCGCGCACCTCATCCTCCGTGATGGTTTGCGCCAAAGCCGGGGTGGCCGCCATCAGGACCGCCCCTACAAGTGAATATCGCAGCATGTCTTCCTCCTCCTTATTGCCCCCGGCCCGGGTTCGCCCGGGTTCCGGAGCTCTATCCCGGGTCGGCCGGTTCCAGTTCCTCCACCATTTGCTGGCGCATGATGAACTTCTGGGGTTTTCCGGTTACGGTCATGGGCAGCGTGTCCTTGATCCGGACATGGGCCGGCACCTTGAAATGGGCGATGGACTGGCGGCAAAAGGCGCCCACATCCTCCTCGGAGAGCATCGCGCCCGCACGCGGGACGACCCATGCGCAGACCAGCTCTCCCAGGTGCGGATCGGGAATGCCGAAGACCTGTGCCTGGGCAATGTCCGGATGGGTGTACAAAAACGCCTCGACCTCGCTCGGGTAGACGTTTTCGCCGCCGCGCAGGATCATGTCCTTGACCCTACCGGTTATGCGGCAGTAGCCCTCGGCATCGATCGTCGCCAGATCGCCGGTGTGCATCCACCCGTCGATGAGGACCTCGGCCGTGCGATCGTCATCATCCCAGTAGCCCTGCATGACCGAGTATCCGCGCGTGAGAAGCTCGCCCTGCACGCCGGGCTGCACCGTGCGGCCGTCGGCATCGATGACCTTGCATTCCACATGGGGGTGGATTCGCCCGACCGTGCTGACGCGCTTGTCGATGGGATCGTCGGTGTCGGACTGGAACGAGACGGGCGAGGTCTCCGTCATGCCGTAGGCGATCGTCACCTGTTCCATGTTCATCTTCGACTGAACCTGCTTCATCACCTCGATCGGGCACGAGGCGCCGGCCATGATGCCCGTGCGCAGATGGCTCAGATCGTACCGGTCGAGATCGGGCACGCCGAGCTCGGCGACGAACATGGTCGGCACGCCGTAAAGCGCCGTGCAGCGCTCGGCCGAGATGGTCGCCAGGGTTTCCTCGGGGTCGAAGCCTTCGCCCGGAACAACCATTGCCGCGCCCTTGGTGACGCATCCCAGCGTGCCCATGACCATGCCGAAGCAATGGTAGAACGGCACCGGAATGCATAACCGGTCGTCGGCGCCAAGGCCGAGCGTGGACGTGACGTTGGCGGCGTTGTTGACGATGTTGCGATGGCTGAGGCAGGCGCCTTTGGGCCGTCCCGTGGTTCCCGACGTGAACTGGATGTTGATCGGGTCGGTATTGCGGATGCCGGCGCCGATCTGGTCAAGGTCGGCTTGCGCGGTGTCGTCACCCATGCCGCAGACGGCATCAAAGCCGAACATGCCGGCCGGCGTTGTCCCGCCAATGGCGACGACCCTTTTGAGTTCCGGCAGGCCGGCGGCCGACAGTTTGCCCGGCTCGGAGGTAGCCAGTTCGGGGGCGAGTTCGTTGAGCATCGCGACGTAGTCGGACGTCTTGAAGCGAGGTGCGGTGATGAGCGTGCTGCACCCGACCTTGTTGAGCGCATATTCCAGCTCGTAGGGGCGATAGGCCGGATTGACGCAGACTAGGATGGCGCCGATCCGCGCAGTGGCGAACTGGGTCAGCAGCCAGGCGCTGTTGTTCGGTGACCAGATGCCGACACGGTCGCCCTTTCGCACACCCAGCCGCAGCAGTCCGCCGGCAAGCCTGTCGACCCGGCGCGCGAATTCGGCATAGGTCCAGCGCACGCCTTCGGCATGGAAAATGGCGGCCTCCCGGTGGCCATGTTCGGCAGCCGTGCCGGCCAGAAGTTCCGGTATCGTCAACTCGAGAAGCGGCGGCGCGGACGGGCCGCGCACGTGGGCCATGCCCTCAATTGGCGTGCGGTCTGCCACCTTGATGTCCTTTCCTCCCATTCCCGCACCAGATGCCGGCTGAACCGGGCGGCTGCGCGCCCGGCCCGTCGCGGTGCCGTTCAGGCTTGTGCGCGGGCGACGTTGATCACCTGCATTTGGGTGTATTCCGCCAGCCCTTCGACAGACTGCTCAACACCAAGGCCGGAGCCCTTGAACCCGGCCATGGGAATATGGGGTCCGATATTGAGCTGCTGGTTGACCCAGACCGTTCCGGTTTCGATCCGTCCGGCGATATCGGTGGCGGCCTCGACATCGGCGGAGTGGACGGCACCGCCCAGGCCATAGTCGGACGCATTTGCGCGGGTCACGACATCGTCGACGTCGCTGAAGGATATGACAGGCAGGATCGGGCCGAACTGCTCCTCATCCACGATCCTCTGGCCGTCGGTCACATCGCGCACGATCGTCGGCTCGACGAAGTAGCCCTTGCCGTCGCGGGTGCGCCCGCCGGCGATGACGGTGCCGCTCCTCCTTGCGTCTTCGAGATAGTCCTTCACCTTCTCGAACTGCTTCTTGTTCTGGATCGGTCCGATGGTCGTGCCCTGCTGCAGACCGTCGCCCACCACGGCCTGCCCGGCGATCTCGGACAGAGCGCCGCAGAATTCGTCATAAATGTCCTCGTGCACATAGGCGCGCTTGACGGCCAGGCAGACCTGACCGGCATTCAGAAACGCACCGCCGAACACCTTCTCGGCGGTGGCTCGAACATCGACATCGGGCATGATGATGGACGGGTCGTTGCCGCCCATTTCCAGGGTGACGCGCTTCATCGAGTTGGCTGCCGCCGCCATGATCCGCTTGCCCGTCTCCGACGAACCGGTGAAGCCGATCTTTGAAATGCCCGGATGACTGGACATTTGCGGACCCAGATCGCCGTCGCCGGTTATGATGTTGACCAGGCCCGGCGGGAAGATGTCGGCGCAGATCTCCGCCAGCTTCAGCGCGGCAACCGGTGTTGTCGGGGCGGGCTTCAGCACGATCGCGTTTCCTGCCATGAGTGCCGGGCCGATCTTCCAGCAGCACAAAAGCAGCGGGAAGTTCCAGGCGATGATGCCGCCGACGACGCCGAGGGGCTTGTGCCGGGTCTCGATGAAGAACTCGTCGTCGTCCTGAATAACCCGATCGGGCAGTTGCAGAGTGGCGGTATGAGCCAAGTAACCGACGCTCCATTGCACTTCGCCGACCGCCTCGGGCAGCGGTTTGCCCTGTTCCAGCGTTATCAGGCGCGCAAGCGCCGATTCATTGTCGGCGATTGCCGCCGACAACGCCTCGACCCTGGCCCGGCGATCTGCCATCGGCGTGGCCTCCCAGGCCTTCTGGGCCTGCGTGGCGGCCGCCACGGCTTCGTCGAGCTGGGCGCGGCTCGCGCGGGGTACGCGCGCGAACGGCTCCTCCGTTGCGGGGTTTATGACATCGAGCATGTTGTCGCCGGAGACAAGACGCCCGCCAATGAGCATGGAATAGTCCATCAGTTCCTCCCGTATCGTGGCGTGGCCACTTTTTCGGGAAATCTGACAGGCCGATGCGCCCGCGCCTACCGCGCCAGGAAGATCACGCCATGGACCTGTCTCGCATTGAGACAATTGCGCGCGCTATCTGTCGATGTTCAGCTCTTTCATCCGCCTGTAGAGCGTGGCGCGCCCGATTCCGAGTTGTCGCGCGGCGGCCGAAACATTGCCTGACGATCGCGCCAGCGCCCGGAGAATGGCCGAGCGCTGGACCTGCGCGATATCGCGGCCACCCGGCCTGCCCAGAAGATCGGCCGCAGGATGCGTCGCGACCGGGCCTTCCAGGTCAAGGCCGAACGCAAGCCGCGCCGCCCGGGTCGCTCCCACGACCAGATCGTCATTGTCGACGGCAAGCAGCGTCGCGCCATTGCCCTGAGCCATGTCCGCGACCACGATGCGCGCTTCGGGAAAACGGGCGTGGAAGTACATTGTCTCGATCCGTCGTGCGGTCTGCACGAGCACATCGGCCAGCAGGAGATTGGTTGCGCGGGTATGATCGGCCCGCGCTGTGCTGATATCGAGCGCGCCGACAACCTCTCCAAGCGCCCCGAAAATGGGCGCGCCAATGCAGCTTATGCCGGTGCTGCGGGCGAAGAAGTGTTCCTCCCGGTCAATGATTACGGGGCGCAGCTCGGCAAGGCAGGTCCCCATTCCGTTGGTTCCCTCGATCTCTTCCGAACAGATCGCCCCTGGCACCAGCCCCACGGTTCGAAAGTCGACCTCGTCGCCCGCCTGGCAGCGATGGTCGATCACCACGCCGGCCCGATCGGTCAGATAGAGCCCACAGCCTCCGGCGCCGACCAGCCGAAACAGCCGGTCGAGTTCGGACTCGGCGATGGAAAGAAATGTGCTGTTCTCGGCCCGGACTTGCTTGAGCGAAGCGCCGTCGAGCCGGCGAACCCTCTTGTCGTTGGCTGGATCGAGCCCATGCGTCACCATCGACCGGAACCAGGATGCGGCGACGCTTGAGCGCGCCACGGCCGACGCCGAAAGCGCCTGCGTCGTCACCCGTTCGACATGAGAGCCATGATCGGCCATTTGCTCCTCCTGCGCCGTCCGCAGCTTTTACGTTCAGGATGGCGGAGCCTGGTTGGCACCATCCTTATCACTCAGAAGTCGTCGCCTGAAACAGCTTTGACAGGACTTGCTCGAACACGACGCGTTCCTGTGGCGAGATGTGCGCCATCATGCGCTCTTCGACAAGACGGGCTTCCGGCGCGATGGCTTGGGTGATCTGTGTCCCTTTCTCCGTCAGGGTGATGATAACCTTGCGCTTGTCGGCGGGGTCCTGCGTCACCGAGATCAGCCCCAGGTCAGATAGGCGCGTCTGTGCCCGGCTGACGCGTGCGGGATCCATCGCCGTGTGCTGCACCAGGAACTGCGATGAGACGGGCGCATGATAGTTCAGCGTTGCCAGGATGCGCCATTCGGGAATGTGCAAATTGAAGCCCGTTTCGATAAGGCGCGCGATCGCCTGGCTGACGCGGTTGGCGACGACCGCCAGTTGAAACGGCATGAACGCGTCAAGCCGGATGTCTTCGTTGTCAGGCTCCGGTTCGGCAAGCGTCTCGTTGGGCGCGTCCATCGGCATATTTTACTCAGTTCTTGATCAGGCGTGGGATCGGGCTTTGCCGGCAATCTGTCGCGGCCCGGGCGCTTCGGCAAGCCCCATGGCCCTTGCGGCTGCGGCAAACGACCCGGAAGGATCGCAGACGTCGAAGTGAATGGCAGTCATGCCGAATGCGCGCGCACCCTCCACATTGCGGGCCTGGTCATCGACGAAGACAAAGGCACGGGCAGGTTCACCAAACGCGTGCATCGCCCGCTCGAACGCGGCCGGATCGGGTTTGAGCGGGCCACCGTCAGATGCATCGATGATGTGCGTCATCTGATCCATGATCGGCAGTTCACTCCGCCATGTGGGACCGAAGAACAGCGCCAGCTCGTTGCTGAGTATGCCGGCCTTCAATCCGGCGGCGGCGACCTGTCGAACCAATGCAGCGGCTTCGGGCCGGACGACCTGCGTGGCCGACATGCCCTGTCGCGCCTTCTGCATCAGCGTCATCGGCTTCCAGCCGGCTTCACCAGCCAAGGCCCCAACCTCGCGGGCGCGCCTTTCCCAGTAATTGCGCTCGGTGATCTCGTCGCGCTGCATGGCCCGCCAAAGCGGGTCGGTCTCGGGCGCCAGAGGTCCGCGCCAGGTGAGGGTACCCGGTGGCAGGCCAAGCACATTCTCGGTGTGCGCGTGGGTCTCAAAGAGCGTGCGTGAGATGACCGCGCCAAAGTCGAGCAGCAAGATGTGCGGCAAACCGGTCTTGGGCGGCCCTGGCTCCATCGGTGTCATCATGCGGCCTTTCGGATGCGCACCACGCCCTCGGTGCCGTTGACGGTCACCTGATCGCCCGTGCTGATGGCACTGGTTGCGATGCCAGTGCCGACAACACAGGGGAGGCCATATTCGCGGCTGACGATGGAGGCATGGGTCAGCGTGCCGCCATTGTCGCACACACAGCCGCCGATCTTGGTAAAGGCTGGTGTCCAGCTGGGTGCGGTGCCCTCGCAGACCAGGATCTCGCCGGGCTTGAGCAGATGCAGCTCATCGGCGTTGTGCATGACCCGCGCCGAACCGGTCACCTCACCCTTGGACGCCGGTATGCCGCGTAACTCCTCGGCCGCGCCGCCATGCTTCTGGGCGTCCAGGAAGTGTTTGTGCAGGCCCACAATCTCGATCAGGATCGGATCACTGACCGCGTCAGGCACCGTGCCGACGACTTTGGGCATCGCCTTGCGGCGATCGTACCAATGCTCGTAATAGGCGCGGCGATCCTTGACGACTGGCTTGAGCGCGGCCCAGCTCGTGTCGCCGCGCGCCAGTTCGACCAGTTCGGTGTGGAACAGGAAGCAGCCATCCTCGCGATCGTCCGCACCGGCTTTTTCGGCGATGGCCAGCGCCGCCAGACGCAGCGGGATGGTCGCCTGCATGTCGATCACCACATTGTGGTCTTCGTTCCACCAGGAGAAATTGGCCTGTCGGCAGCTTGCGAGCGCTTGGCCGAATGCCTCGCGCTCGGCGGTCGACAGTTTGGCGCATGCATTCTCCACCGCTTCGTCGCGTTCGGCCGCCGCCGCCGAGAGCCCGCCATCGAAGTCGTGGGCATCGTCCTTCTGCAGGAAGGTTTCCAGAAGGCCGACAACGGGTTGTTCGTCCTCGATCCACGGCTTTTCGCGCGGATCGGCGATGCCGGCCGTCCGCCAGCCCCACCGGTCGAGGAACGCGCGATATTTGGCGAGCCAGGCGCCGCCATTGGGACCAGCGGATTCCATCGCGGCCCGCATCTGCGCGGGCGAGCCGGCGACATGCGCCTGAACGCCCAGTTCGCGTGCCGCATGGGCGAGTTCCCACAAGGCAATGTCGGTTTCGACGATCTTCGTCTTTTCGCCCTGCAGGAACTTTGCGATCTCGCCGGGAGCGATATTCAGTTCCGAACACAGGCCGTAAAAGCCCGCATAGTTGGCGAGAAGCGGGTACATCAGGCCGAAATGCACGCACCATGCAAACTTCTGGAACGCCCGGGCGTCGGCCGCAAACCGGGCCAGTTCCGGCAGGCTCGCCGCGCTCGTATCAAAGGTCTTGAAGTGCTCGAAGCCGGCGGTGAGTTCGGCCTCGCGCCGGGCCCAGATCGTATTGAAGTCGCCGAGGATGCCGCCCAGCTCGTTGCCGATACGCAAGCCCCGGAACCCCGGTTCCCATGCGCTTTTCAACGGCGATTCACCACCGAACACATGCGTGCCGCCGAAGCGGACGGCCAAGCCGTTGGACGGGGGAAGGGGCAGCGTGGTCGCGGAGAGCTGGGTGCCATAGGCATAGCCATCCTCAAAGAAGCACATGCCGAGTGGAGTGGTGCCGTTCGGCCAGTGGAAATCGAGAAACCAGAATCGCTCTACATCCTCGGCGCGAAACTTCGACACGGGTTCGGCGATCCAGGGGCTGTCGAAGAAGCGCGGTTCGAAGCCCGGATAGCCGGGGTCGTTGACGAACTCATCGATCGGTATGACGGTGGACATGGTCTTCTCCCTTGCGCAGCTTCTCAGGCCGCTTCGACGGACAGATACAGATCGCGGATAGCATCGGGCCGGTCGCGGAAGGCGCTGGCGTGATCGCGCGCGATGATCGCACCGCGCGACAGCACGGCCACCTCGTCGGCGATCTCGAGCGCCATGTGGGTGTATTGCTCGATCAGCAAGACGCCGATCCCTGATTGCGCGATCCGGGTCATCAGCGGGATCAGGCGCTTAACGATGACAGGCGCCAGGCCGAACGACATCTCGTCGGCCAAGATGAACTGCGGCCGGCCCATCAGCGCTTGCGCAAGCGACAGCATTTGCTGCTGGCCGCCAGACAGATTGCCGGCATGCAGCGCGAGTTTCTCCTTCAACTCCGGAAAGATTGCCAACGCCTCCTCGAAGGCGCGGCGCCCCTCGCTGGCGGGCAGAAAGGTCGCTGCAGCGCGCAAGTTATCGGCGACCGAAAGACCCCTGAGCACGCGGTGGCCCTCGGGAACCGCGGCAACGCCGAGCTTGCGGATCGCCTGCGGCCGTTTGCCCACCAGTGGCTCAGTGCCAAGCCGGATGGTTCCTTTGGATGGCGTGAGTTCGCCGGCGATCGTTGAAACAAGTGTCGATTTGCCGGCGCCGTTGGGACCAAGCAGGGCCATGATGCCGCCAGGCTCAACAGTCAGGTCGATGCCGTGCAGCACCTCCTGAGCGCCGCGGCGCACGGTCAGCTTCTCGACGAAGAGCGCGGTCTCGTTCATGCCGCCCGCGCCTCCGCGTCATCATCTTCGAACTCGCCGAGATAGGCAGCGCGGACCTTCGGGTCTGCGAGCACGGTGTCGGTGTCGCCGCTTGCGACCGGATGGCCGAAATCGAGCACGGCGACTTGATCGCACAGGCCGGCGATCAGATCGATATCATGGTCGATGATCAATATGCGGGTGCCGGCGCGCGATAGCCCCCGCAAAAGGTCGATCAGGCGCGTGCGTTCGGCAGCCGCCAGACCGGCTGCCGGCTCGTCCAGCATGATCAGTTTGGGGCCGGTGACCAGGCACCGCCCGATCTCCGTCATCCGTAGGTCGAACCCGTCAAGATGCGCGCCAAGGCGGCGGGCGTGTCCGGCCAAGCCCACCCGCTCCAGCGTTTCGGCGAGGCGCGTTGCCGCTTCGGCGCGCGGGACCTGCAGACTGTCGAGCGCCACCTGGATGTTCTCGGACGCGGTCAGATCGTCGGCCACTTGCGGGGTTTGGAAGGCGCGGGTCACGCCCCACCCAAGACGCTGTCCCGCAGCAAGCGCGCCAATATCTTTGCCGAACAGGCGCACCGTGCCGGCGGAAGGTCGGACAAGGCCGGAGAGCACATTGAGCAGCGTCGTCTTGCCGGCCCCGTTGGGGCCGATCAGCCCGACGATCTGACCGTCAAGGGTCAGCGACAGCCGGTCGATCGGCTTGACGCCTCCAAATGTCACGGTGAGCGCATCGATGTCGATCATCGGTCGACTCCTGAAAAGCGGTTCTGAATGGCCGATGTCAGATCGTGCAGTTGGCCCGCAATGCCGCGCGGTGCGCTGACGATGGCGTGGATCAGGGCCAGGCCGAAAATCGTGATCGCGATGTCGCCATCGACGCCCCAGCTGTCGAGGATCGCCGGGAACATCCGATACAGAAAACCTGCGATCAGCGCTGCGGCGAGCGACCAGGGACCCGCGATGATGACAAGGCCGTAGAGTAGAAGCGACTGGACTGGATCGAAGGACCGGCCGTCCAGCTGTCCGATGGAACCGGCCAGCAAACAGCCACCGACACCGGCCAGTGCACCGGCCAGGCCAAACGCCTTGGCCCGGGCGATGCCGATCCTGACGCCCGCGGCATGGGCGACCGCGTCGCCCGCCCGGATCATCGCCCAGGCGCGGCCCACCGCGGACTTGGTGACGATGTGCGTGGCGGTGAACGCGGCCGCTGCAATGGCGAGCGCATAGAGGAAGTAGGCCAGATCGCTTGCGGCGATGGCCGGGCGCGCCATCAGTTGGCGTTCGGCGGAGCCGTCGATGCGGCCCCAAAAGCCGCTACCGCCGTCCGGAAACCCGATCGAGGAGACGACGACATGGAAGCCGGCTGCGAACATCAAGGTGATGAGCGCGTAGATCAGACCGCGATGCTTGAGCGCGGGCAGGCCGAGCAACACGCCCGCAGCGCCGGTACAAAGCGCCGCGAGCACCAGCACGATCTCAAACGGCAGGCCCGTGGCATGGGCCAGGCGCAAGCCGAACCAGCCGCCGACACCCATCATCGCGATGCCTGCCAGCGAGACGAAACCAAGCCGCGCATGCAGCAGCGCCACGCCCTGCGCGGCGATCGCCACCGCAATCATCGAGGTGAAGTTCTTGATCCAGTACGAGCCGAGGAACGGCACGATCAGCGCCATGAGAAGGAACGCGGTGATCAGCCCGCCATGTTGACTGGCGGCTGCGGCGAGAAATCCGCGCGGAGCAGCATGGGGCAGGGGAGTGTGGCTCGTCTCGGACATCGCCATCAGCTTCCCCGCGTGGTCTGAAAGGTGCGCGCCGGCAGCAGGACCAGAACCGCTATGGCGACGATGAAGGGAACGAGCGACCGGTAGGGCGCAACATCCTGAAACGGTGTGGCGATCGCCTCAAGTACGCCGATTGCGAGGCCACCGGCCAGCGTCAGCCACAGCGAGCGCAATTGACCAAGGATCGCGGCTGCGATGGAGGGCACGACCATGAAGGTCAACACGCCCGGTTCCAGCCGCACGAGGCTGCCCAGAAGGATACCGATGGTGCCGGCCAGAACGCCGGTGGCGGTCCAGGCGATCAGGGTCACCCGCTCAACGTCGATGCCGATCAGCGCGCTCAGGTCCCGGCCATCGGCAAGAGCCCGCATCTGCAGACCCAGACGTGTCCTGGCGAGCAGCAGCGATATGCCGATCGCGGTCATTACACACAGCACCAGCGCAACGACACGGACGCCGGTAACGCGGACGCCGAACAGTTCGGTGTTGAGCGCGCTCAACGGCAGGCGGAGCCGGCGTGGCGTATCGCCCCAAATGAAGTACATCAGCCCGAGCAGAGCGAGCGCAAGCCCGAGCGTTGCCACCGCCTTGATCACGTTCGAACGCCGGGCGACGCGCGCCGACACGAACGCCCCATAGCCGGCTGAAATCGCGGTGGCGGCGGCGACACCGCACAGCGCGGCCAACGCAATCGGCGTGCCCCATGCGTGGGCCTGCCAGGCCGTCATGGCCGAAGCGGCGCCGATGGCGCCAAGGGCGAAATTGAGTTCGCCCGTGGCGCGGAACAGGACGACCAGCCCCATGCCCGCCAGCGCATAGACGCTGCCGAGCGCAAGTCCGGTGACAAGAAAGGGTGTCAGGTCAGGCATGGGTCCGGTCGTTGCTCTGGGCCGTCAGCTGCGGATGTCGGCGAGTTCGGGATCGTCGGAGACGAAACAATCGCGCGAGGTTTCCCAGCCATCGGCGGTCATGGTCACCATGCGGCCGGCCTGGTTGGCATTGTGCCGGTCGCCGGGTCCGAACGACCACGCACCACACAGAAGATCAGAGTCCACCGCCTCCATGGTCTGAAGGGCTTCCAGCACGCTTTGACGGGTGATGTCGCCGTCGATGCCGCGCAGCACCCCCGTTATGATCTTGGCGGCCAGATAGCCGCCCTGGCTGAAGCTGTCGCGCGGATCGGAGGCGTTGCCATATTCGTCCATGATCGACAGCCACGCCGTATTATCGACGCCGTCGCTGTCGAGCGTGTTGAACTCGATATGCGCCTTGATCGCGCCGGCCCAGTAGTCGCCGACAGCTGCCGGGAACGCGGTGTCATAGATCGAGGTCGGCCCGAGCCAGATCGCTTCCTCGCGCAGGTCCTGATCCTCGGCAGCGTTGAAGATCGGGATGGCGGCCGGCGCCGGTTCGGCGACGATGATCGCGTCGGCGCCCATCGCCATGGCCTGCAGGACCAGCGAGGTCGGATCGAGTGTCGCCGGATCGTGCAGCACATTGTGCGTCTCAACGCCCTTGTCGGCGCCCCAGGCCGCCAGCCCTTCGCAGAACCAACCGCCGACATTGGGAATGTTCGGTGCCATGCAGACGAACGAACGGGCACCCTGGTTTTCATAGGCATCGATCGCCGCACCGAGGGTCGATAGGCGTGGGCCCATGTTCATCGGCGCGATGTTGGAAGAGAAGAAGCATTCGCGCGGCACGCCGACACCCGCGATCACGCCGATGCCATTGTCGGCATAGAATCTGGCGTTGGTGCCGCATTCGATGAAGGAGGTCGAACCGGCCATGGCGACGACGCCCTCGTCATTGACCAGCTTGGCGGCGGCGTTGGCGGCGTTTTCGGGGTTCCAGGCATCGTCCTCGACGAGATATTCAACCGGTCGCCCGTTGATGCCGCCATTGGCGTTGACGCAGTCGAAGAAGGCGGCGGCCGATTTGGACGCTGAGGAAAAGTCGGCGGGTCCGGTCTGGCCGACAATCGCGCCGATCTTGATCGGTTCGCCTGTGGCGGGTTCGCCGCTGCCGCAAGCCTCGTTGGCCGCGGCGGGCGGGGTCATCGCCAGAGAGAAGCCGCAGGCGAGCGCGGCCAGCGTAAAGGGCAAAGCATGTTTCATGGTTTCGGTCCTCCCAACGGTCCGTTTGTTTTCAGTGTCGTGTCGCGGCGTCCTGCCGGATCATGTCGGCTGCCTTTTCGGCGATCATGATGGTGGGTGCGTTGGTGTTGCCCGAAACGATCTCGGGCATGATCGAGGCGTCGACGATGCGGAGGCCCTCGACGCCGCGCACCTTCAATCGCGGGTCAACCACCGCACGCGGGCCGGTGCCCATCGCGCAGGTGCCGACTGGGTGATAGACCGAACGCGCATGCTCCCGGATGAAGGCGGTCAGCTCTGCATCGTTGGTCACGCCATCTCCGGGCAGGATTTCGCTGAGCCCGTGCGGCGCGAACGGCTGCTGCCTGAGGATGTCGCGGGCGATCTTGACGCCGCGCATCAGCAGTTGCATGTCGTCTTCCTCGCGCAGCAGCCCCAAGTCGATGACCGGCCGCGCCGATGGGTCCGCTGCGTTCAGCGTCACGGCGCCACGGCTCTTGGGACGCAGAACGCCGGTGTGCAGCGACACGCCATGGCCGTACTCCAGCATCCGGCCGCGATGGCTCTTGCGGCCTGGAATGAAATGGAACTGGATGTCGGGACGCTCGACGTCCGGCTGCGACCGGACGAAGCCGCCGGCTTCGACCATGTTGGAGGCCAGCATGCCGCGCCGCGCGGCGAGATAGCGCAACCCTTCATAGAACAGCTTGGGCGCCGCGCCGGCAGACAGGCCATAGGGCGTTCGGCTCCGGCTCTTGCAGATGACCAAGCAATCGACATGGTCGTGCAGATTGGCGCCGACGCCGGGCAGGTCATGCTTGACCGCGATGCCTGCGGCCGTCAGGTCGGCGCCGGGGCCGATGCCCGAACGCATGAGGATTTCCGGCGAGCCGATGGCCCCGGCCGAAAGGATTACTTCACGATCTGCCCCAATCGCACGCTCATTGCCATCGCCGTCGCGCACGCGCACGCCCGCGACCCGATCGTTGGACCATTCGAGCGCGGCCACCTGGCTGCTGGTGACGACGCGCAGATTGGCGCGGCCGCGCGCCGGCTCGAGAAACGCGTGCGCTGTCGAATGGCGCCGTCCGCCGTCTTGCGTCACCTGATAGATGCCGACGCCTTCCTGGCCGGCGCCGTTGAAGTCGCGATTTGGGCGGAACTGCAACTGGCCCGCAGCCTCGATGAACACCGTGTCCATCGGGTTTGGATCAGCGAGATCGGTGACCGACAGGGGGCCGGACTTGCCGTGATGGACGCCGTTGAGATCCGGCGCCCGATTGTTCTCCGACTTGATGAAATAGGGCAGAACCGACTCATAGTCCCAACCGGTACAGCCGGCCTCGGCCCAACGGTCATAATCCTCGCGCTGGCCGCGAATGTAGATCATGCCGTTGATGGCCGACGAACCGCCCAGAACCCGGCCGCGCGGGATCGAGACCGAGCGGCCTCCGAGACCCTCTTGCGGCGCCGATGCGTAGAGCCAGTTATGGCGGGTATTCTTGGCCAGCCATATCAGGCCGAGCGGCATGGCGATGAACGGATGGGTGTCTTTCGGCCCGGCTTCGATGAGACAGACAGTCGAGCGGGGGTCTTCCGACAAGCGGGACGCCAGAACCGCGCCCGCAGAGCCGGCGCCTACGATCACATAGTCGAACCGGTCGCCGGAAGCCGTCACCGTGCCACCCCGAAACCGTATTTCGTCGCATAATCCAGATTGTTCCAGGCCGGGGCGGGCGCCTCGGCCTCAAGCGTGGTCACCGGCCTGACCTGGACGAGGACCGGCGGTTCGCCGGGACGCCAGTGGCGGGGGATGACCCATTCGACATCCACCGGCTCGCCCATTTGCTTTTCGACGTCACGCACCGCGCGGGCGATGGTGTCGACCTCATGGTCGCCGAGCACGCGGGCTTTTCGGAATCGGGCGGGTGCCGGCTCTTCGACAACCAGCCGGGTCTGCGGATCAAAGACCGAGACAATCGTCTTGTCGGCGGTCACATAGTCGAGGATGCGCAAGTCCGCCTTGTCGACAGCCGCACGGTCCGGCGTGACCACGCCCTGGACGACCGATTCGCCAAAGCCCCAATTGCCCTCGATCGTGATGCGGTCGCGTTTGCCGGTCAGCGGATCGACCGAAAAGGCGACGCCCGCAGAGCGCGCATCCGCCAGTTCCAGCACCACAACCGCCATCGGCGCGTCATGGCGAAGGCCCTTCTTCAGCCGGTAAAGGATCGCGCGTTCGTTGAACAGGCTGGCCCAGACCTTCTTTACGTGGTTCAGCAGGGCCTCGTGGCCTGCGACGCCCAAATAGGTCTCGAACTGGCCGGCAAAGCTGGCATCCTTGGCATCTTCGCCAATGGCGGACGATCGCACGGCGACCTTGAGGCGAAGCGTGCCCGACTGAAAACATAGAGCGTCATAGGCATCGCAGATGAGCTGCGCCAGATGGCCGGGCAGACTGGCATCGGCGATCATCGCGACAATGTCGGCCGAACCGGCGCGGATGGCCGCTTCGTCGCTTACGTCAACGCGCGCCAGTCTGTCACCGATGGCGTCATGGAGTTGCGTCGCCTGCAGGAAGTCGGAGAAGGCTGCGGCCGTGACCGTGAAGCCGTTCGGCACCGAAGCGCCCATGGCCGTCAACTCGTACAGCCGCCGCCCCTTGCCGCCGACGTCGGACTCCTCGGACGGCTGCCGGATGTCGGCGACAAACGGTTTCGCTTGCCGGTTTGACCTGGCCTTGACGTGCATCGATATCCTCCCAAAGTCGAACCTACTCAATTTCATTCCATTTGCAACAAAAATATTTCATTTGATGCGAAATTGAGTTGCGTGCGGCTTCCTGCCTGTTATGCAAGGTAAGCAGGGAGCGACTGTCGGAAAGGTGGGGAGGAATGATGCTGGACATGGCACAGATTGAGGCGTTGCGCGCCGCCCCGGTTGCCGATCGGGATCATCTGGTCGATGGACGGTCCTTTTCCCCGACGTCCGGTCAGCGCCTCGACGTGGAAACGCCGATCGACGGGTCGGTCCTGACCACGATGGCACGCGGCGACGCGACCGATGTCGAGGCGGCCGTTAGCGCGGCCAGGCGCGCCTTTGCCGACCGGCGGTGGCGCGGCCTGCCGGCGGCGCGGCGCAAGGCGATCATGGCGCGGTGGGCCGACCTGATCGAGGCGGAACTGCTGGAATTGACGGTGCTGGGCGTGCGCGACAACGGTACCGAGATCGCCATGGCGATCAAGGCCGAGGCCGCCTCGGCGGCGGCCACCATCCGCTATTATGGCGAGGCAATCGACAAGATGAGCGGCGAGATCGCGCCGACGCCCGACAACCGGTTGGGCCTGGTGCATCGCGAACCCGTCGGCGTTGTTGGCGCGATCGTGCCGTGGAACTTTCCGCTCATGATCGGGGCGTGGAAACTGGCGCCGGCCATCGCGGCGGGCAATTCGGTCGTGCTCAAGCCCGCCGAAACGGCCTCGCTCGCCCTACTGCGTCTGGCTGAGCTCGCGCACGAGGCGGGACTGCCCGATGGCGTGCTCAATGTCGTGACCGGGTTGGGCGGCGAAGCCGGCGCGGCGCTCGCCGCGTCAAGCGATGTGGACGTGCTCGTCTTCACCGGTTCGGGCGCCACCGGCCGGAAACTGCTTCAAGCGTCGGCCGAGTCCAATCTCAAGCGGGTCTATCTGGAACTCGGCGGCAAAGCGCCCAACATCGTCTTTGCCGATGCGCCGGACCTCGAGACGGCAGCCGAGGCTGCCGTCGATGCGGTCTTCCGCAACAGCGGCCAAGTCTGTGTCGCCGGTTCGCGGTTGCTGGTCGAGCGTTCGATCCACGAGGAATTCATCGAGAGGCTGCGTTCACGAGCCGACCGTATGCGCGTCGGCGATCCTCTCAATCCCGAGACACAGATCGGCGCAGTCAACAGCCAGTCCCAGCTTCACGCCAATCTAAAAGCCGTGGCGCAGGCACAGGAAGACGGCGCCCGCGTCATTGGCGGCGGACAACGGCTGCTCGAATCCAGCGGCGGCTACTACATGCAGCCGACGATCATTGCTGACGTTGCTCTGGCCCACCGGCTGTTTCAGCGTGAGGTGTTCGGGCCGGTCCTAGCAGTCACGACGTTCGATGGCGAGGCGGAGGCGGTGGCCCTGGCGAATGCGGGTCCGTACGGTCTGGCGTCGGGCGTGTGGACCGCCGATCTTGCGCGCGCGCACCGCATGGTCATGGCGATCAAGGCGGGCGTCGTTCACGTCAACACCTATGGCGGCACGGACATCACAGTGCCTATGGGCGGGCAGAAGCAATCCGGCAACGGCTATGACCGCTCGCTGCACGCGCTTGACAAATTCCAGAACCTGAAGACCGCCTGGATCGCCATCGATTGATCCATTGCCTCGAGCCTGACCAAGGGCTCAGCGTAAACGGTTGCCCGTTCAACCGTTCATTTCGATACGAATCTTGTGCATGTTTGACCCATCAATTGGCGGTCACGCTTTCGCGCAACGGCGGCGCGCCGGCAAAGCGCTGCCTGTCTTTCCTCGCCGCGCAGGTGAACCGGCACGATCCGGATCTTCTCTTCCGCCATACATTGTCTGCTCGCGGTCGGGCGGGTGTCTTTGTTGATGTTCTCCGTCGGCTCTTTGTGCGTTTCTGGTTTCTGTCTCATCGTCACTCCTTGACGGGCCAAGACGAGCGAGAAATCCTCCGTTGTCCGTTAGGCCGAGACCGTCTCATTGGTGCTGAAGTCTGATATCGTCGTGACCGGCACATGGACTCGCCTCGAAAAGCATGCTCCGTCTTCACTTGCCAGACCGCCGCTTGGAGCTTTGCGCATTTTCGTGGCACTTGGGGCCGTTTGTTCACTTGCTGTTTCGAAATGACTCCGCTAGAAGGCGCCCGAAACCCTTGTGTTTCAAGGGCCGGAGTGTAGCGCAGCCTGGTAGCGCACCTCGTTCGGGACGAGGGGGTCGCAGGTTCAAATCCTGCCACTCCGACCATTTCTCGGTCAGACTTTGATGGAAGTGACACCGTCCGCGCGGACGCCGGCGATTGCCGGTTGCCGCCGCCCCCTTTTTGCGTCTATCCCGGAGAGGCCCGGCATCACGCCAATCTATCCTCCGGAGCTGCCATGAAACCCGTCGCGGACCTGACCCCCAACACGTTCGCCTTCGAGACGACGCCGCTCGTCAAGCCGACCGGCTTCCGCGAATACGATGCGCGCTGGTGGTTCGGCCATCCATCGTCCGACAAGGCACCCGAAATCAACCTGATGGGCATTCAGGCGCTCGGCATGGGGCTCGGCACGCTGATCCGCCGCCGCGGTGCCGGTCCGAAGATTGTCGTCGGCCACGATTTCCGCAGCTATTCCATGACGATCAAGCTGGGATTGACGCAAGGGCTCATGGCCGCCGGCGCCGAGATCAAGGATATCGGCCTGGCTCTGTCGCCGATGGCCTATTTCGCCCAGTTCGAGCTGGACGTGCCGTCCGTGGCAATGGTCACCGCCTCGCACAATGAAAACGGCTGGACCGGCGTGAAGATGGGCTGCGACCGCCCGCTGACTTTCGGCCCCGACGAGATGGGCCAGTTGCGCGATATCGTGCTCGGCGGCGATTTCGACCTGACCGGCGGCGCCTACGAGTTTGTCGACGGGTTTCGCGAGACCTATCTCGACGATCTCGTCGACGGCCACACGATCTCGCGCAAGCTCAAGGTCGTGGCCGCATGCGGCAATGGCACGGCCGGGGCGTTTGCGCCCGAAGCGCTCGAACGGATCGGCTGCGAGGTGATCCCGCTCGACGCCGAACTCGACCACACCTTCCCGCGCTACAATCCCAATCCCGAAGACATGAAGATGCTGCACGCGATCCGTGACGCCGTGCTCGAGCATGGCGCAGATGTCGGGCTCGGCTTTGACGGTGACGGCGACCGCTGCGGCGTCGTCGACAATGAGGGCAACGAGATCTTCGCCGACAAGGTGGGCGTGATGCTCGCCCGCGACATCTCCGCCCAGCACGACAACTCCGTCTTTGTCGCGGACGTGAAATCGACGGGGCTCTACGCCACCGATCCGGTCCTGAAGGAGCAGGGCGCAAAGACCGACTACTGGAAGACCGGCCACTCCTACATCAAGCGCCGGGTGACGGAGCTTGGCGCCATTGCTGGGTTTGAAAAATCCGGCCACTTCTTCTTCGGCCCGCCGATCGGCCGGGGCTATGATGACGGCATCGTCACCGCAATCGCCGTTTGCGAGATGCTCGACCGCAACCCCGAAAAGTCGATGGCCGATCTCTATCGCGCGCTGCCGCTCACCTATGGCTCGCCCACCATGTCGCCCCACTGCGACGATGAGGTGAAGTACGAGGTGATCGACCGTGTCGTGAAGCGGTTTGAAAAGATGCAGGCCGATGGCGGAAAGGTCGCCGGGCACCCGATCGCCGACCTTGTCACCGTCAATGGCGTGCGGGTCGTTGCCGACGACGGCACATGGGGGCTGGTCAGGGCCTCGTCCAACAAGCCCGAACTGGTCGTCGTCGTCGAAAGCCCGGTCTCCGAGCAGCGCAAGATCGACATGTTCCACGCGGTCGATGCGGTGCTGCGCGAGAACCCCGAAGTCGGCGAATACAATCAGACGCTCTGATCAGAGCGCCAGGCCGACCCGGCCGATGCCCGGCAGTTTCAGCGCCGGGCGCATGACATCGATGCCGATCGCCTGACCCAGCAGGTGAACCTCAAACCCAGATCGCAGACCGGCCGACAGACCGGCGAGGCCGTGCAAGGACAGATGCAGGTCACGCGCGTCGCGATCGACTGCGGCGCGGGGGCCGGCGCCCAGATAGTCGCGCCCCACCGCGTGTGGCGGCAGGACGGCGCCGATCTCCGGCACCGCGCGCAAGACGTGGGCGACGAACGTGTTCGAATTCGGCCCCGGCCATGTGCGGTAATCGCCGCGTCCGGCGTGCGGGTAGCGCGCGATGGCGCTTTCGATCGCGGGGATCAGACTGGCCGCTTCATGGCCTCGGATCGCACGGATGATGAAGGGCCGGTTGGAATACCAGCGTGCATCGGCGGTATAGGCATTGCGGCGGACGGGCATGCCCCAGCCCACCTTGTCATAGCGCGTATAGGCCGCAGCGCCCGCGCGCTTGTAGACCAGCCAGCTGTGCACCGAAACCGCGCCCTTGAGCCCGCCGGTGCGTGCCGCCATCACATAGACCGCTGCATCGCTGTTGCGTCCCGGATCGGGCAGGGTGTCCGTGCCCGACCAGTCGGCTTCGTGCCAGCTCTGGGGGCGGTCCACGGTCATCCACCAGGCGGTGGCCGTGCCGATCGGCAGAAAGAAGAGCAGTGCCAGGCAGGCGAGGAATATTCGCATCGGTCTCTTGTGCGTCCGTGTTTGAGGGCATAGTGCGCGGCAATGGGGTGAAAATGCGGTGGCGCCGGGAGCGCGTTCGGGAGGCACTATGGCAAATCCGGTAATCGCCGAAGTCACGCGCGGCAGCCGCGTCGAGAGCGTTCATCGCGGACGCATCGTCGCCGTCGATGCCGATGAAGGCGTGTTGTTCGCTATCGGCGATGTCGACACGCCGGTCTACCCGCGTTCAGCCCTCAAGCTGATGCAGGCGTTGCCGCTTGTTGAAAGCGGTGCGGCCGACGCGTTCGGCTTCGGCGACCGGGAACTGGCGCTGGCCTGCGCGTCCCATTCGTCCGAACCGGCCCATGTCGATATGGCCCGCGCGATGCTGTCCAAAGCGGGCCTGACGCAGGACGATTTGCAATGCGGCGCCCACTGGCCGCTGTTCGGATCCGGCGAGATGGTGGCATTGGCGCGGTCCGGCGAAGAGCCGACGCGCGCGCACAACAATTGCTCGGGCAAACATGCCGGCTTTCTGTGCACCTGCGTTCACCAGGGGTTTGATACGGGCGACTATCTTGCGGACGCCAACGGCGTGCAGCGCCAGGTGCGCGCGACGATCGAACAGTTGACCGGCGCAACGCTCGACTTTGACCGGTGCGGCCTCGACGGCTGCTCGGCGCCCACTTATGCGCTGCCGCTTGTCGCATTTGCGCGCGGCTTTGCGCGGCTGGCGACGGGCAACGGGCTGGAGTCCGCACGCGCCAAGGCGGCGCGGCGGCTGATGGCGGCGTGCGTGGCCGAACCGCTGATGGTGGCCGGCACGGGGCGTTTCTGCACCGACCTGATGGATGCCTGTGAGGGCCGGGTCTACGTGAAGACCGGAGCGGAGGGCGTCTATGTGGGCACGGTGCCGGAAGAAGGCATCGCGCTGGCACTCAAATGCGACGATGGCGCGACACGGGCCGCTGAGGTGGCCATGGCGGCGGCGCTTGTGCGGGCGCTCGGGCCGGACCACGATCTGACGGCGTCGATTGCATCGTTCGCTGTTCGGCCGGTGCGCGACTGGAACGGGCTTCAGGTGGGAGAGTTGCGCGCTGTTGAGCCAGATTGATCAGGCCAGCCGGTTGTCGGCGAGGATGATGTTTTCCGGCACGCCACGGCGCGCGCCCAGCAACTCACCGGTCGTCAGGTCTGCCCAGCGATGGGCGCGGATGGCGCCTTGCCGCGCGCCAATCACATTGGCGCTGACGAGCACCGTGCCAGCGCCCGGTGCTTCCGAGATGCCGATGCCGATCCGTGCGTCGCGAATGACATTCGACGACAGAACGCAATCGCGCAGATAGGGTCCCCAGCCGGCATTGATGCCGAACCGGGCGACGCCCTCGATCATGTTGCCTGTGACCGTCGTATCGGCTTCCACAGCGATGCCGGTGCCGAAACCGGGCGCGTCAGGCTCATAAGGCCCGGTGGCGACGATGTTCCGGATGATGTTGCCCGATACGGTCGCCGCGCGTCCGCCGTCGTTGAAGTTGGTCACCGAGATGCCGTTGGCTGCACCATCGATGAAGTTGCGCGCCACGATGGCATTCTCGAACCCGAACTCGGAGTAGATCGCCGTCTCACCGATCGCGCGGCAATTGTTGTCGACGATCTGCAGGTTCCGCGCCGCATTGCCGCGCACCGCCGAAAAGGCGGCGCCTTCGATCCGGTTGCCGCTGACCAGCACATTGTCGGCACGGAACAGGTTGATCGCATTGCCCCACTGGCCGGTGCCGCCGCTGACCGCGCCGATATTGGTGATGCGGTTGCCGACGATCATCGTGCCGTCATCGCCTTCGGCCCAGCGATGGATGATGACACCGCCATCGGCACAGGCATCGACCCGGTTGCCGCGCACCGTCAATCCCGTGCTTTCGACCGCATAGATGCCGAAGCGCGCCGCGCCCGAAATGGAGCAATCGGCAATCCGGCCGCCGCAGCGTTCAAGATGGATGCCGTCCCGCCCGGCGCCGCGCACCGTCAGATCGTCCAGCGTCACATCGGGCACGCCGCGCAGATCGATAAGCCCGTCGACGCCGGCACCGGTCCAGCGATTGACGCCGTCGACGACGAGGTTTGAAAGGCGCACCTGCCGCAGATCATGGCCGGACAGGAAATGTCCGTCGCCGCCATAGACCAACTCGGTGCGTCCCGGCACACCGGAAATCAGCGCACCTTCGGGAAGCTTGATGTTGGAGATCACATAGGTGCCGGCCGGCAGGAACACCGGAATGCCGCGCCGTGCGGTTTCGTCCAGCATGCGCTGGAACGCGGCCGACTGGTTGTCGAGCGCGCCGGGGCGGACATCATAGTCGAGCGCGCTGACCGAACCGCGCAACTCGGCCAGCGTCACCGCCGGTTGGCGCGATTGTGCCGATGCGGAACGGCTGACGGCCAGCGCGGCCAAGCCTGTTCCAAAATGGGTCAGAAACCGGCGTCTGTGCATGTCTGTCCTCCATTGCGAGGATCAGGTGCACGCACGATGCCAAAACGCCCCGGCATCCCTGTCCGGGGCGCTTTCTGCCGTGCTCCAAAGCGTCAGACGAACTGGCTGAGCCCGGGAATCGCGCTGATGACTTCATCGACAGGGCCGTCGCCGGCCTTTTCCCTGGCGAACGAGATGGTCTCCTTGGAAATGCCGGAGATTTCGCCCATGCCGAGCCCGAGCCCCATCAGCGACGAGCCAAGACCCATCACGCCGCCGCCCATCATGCCGCCGAGCATTCCGCCGCCGCCGCCACCGGCATTGTCGATCAGATCCTGCGCGCCGGGCATTGCGGCCAGCATCTCGGCGATCTTGTCCTGCGGGCCTTCCTTCTGCAGAAATCCGAGGATCATGCCGACGGCGCTCTGCGCCTTGCCGGCGTCGATGCCGACGCTGTCCGTAATGCGGGAAATCAGGTCTTCCATGAGTGCCTCCGGGCGAAAAATTTTGACGTTTACGTCATAGGCAGAACCGCCGGCGCAATTCAAGGGCGCAGACACGCCATCGCGCGAAATTCGCCTGACGCCATTGTCCGCCGGCGGGCCGCCAACTATAGCAGGGCAGGGGATGCAGCAGACGGGACGCCTTAAATGACCGCACCGGAAGAGATTTTCGTCGGCACCAGCCGCAAGCCAGACGACAGCATCGAGGCCAAACAGTTCCTCAAGCTGAAATACGCCAACCGGCACGGGCTGATCACCGGCGCAACCGGAACGGGCAAGACCGTGACGTTGCAGATCCTGGCCGAGGGCTTTTCCAATGCCGGCGTTCCGGTCTTCTGCGCCGACGTGAAGGGCGACCTCTCGGGCATCGCCGCGATGGGCGAAGCCAAGGACTTTCTCCTCAAGCGCGCCGAGACGATCGGGCTCGATCCGTACGAGTTCCAGGAATTCCCGGCGATCTTCTGGGACCTGTTAGGCGAGAAGGGCCATCCCATCCGCACGACGATCTCGGAGATGGGACCGTTGCTCCTGTCGCGGCTGATGGACTGCTCGGACAGCCAGGAGGGCGTCATCAACATCGCCTTCCGCATCGCCGACGAGGAGGGTCTGCTGCTGCTCGATCTGAAGGATTTCCGGGCGCTTTTGTCCAACATGTCCGAGCGTTCCAAGGAACTGTCGCACAAATATGGCAGCGTGAACCGCCAGTCGATCGGCGCGATCCAGCGCAAGCTCCTGGTGCTCGAACAGCAGCGCGCCGATCTTTTCTTCGGCGAGCCGGCGCTGCGTATCGCCGACATCATGCGCACGACCCCGGACGGGCGCGGCGCCATCAATGTGCTGGCCGCAGACCAGCTGATGATGAATCCGCGCCTATATGCGACGTTCCTGCTCTGGCTCCTGTCGGAACTGTTCGAGGAACTGCCCGAAGTCGGAGATTCCGACCGGCCGCGCCTGGTCTTCTTCTTCGATGAGGCACATCTTCTGTTCGACGAGGCGCCGAAAATTCTGGTCGAAAGAGTGGAACAGGTGGTCCGGCTGATACGGTCCAAGGGCGTCGGCGTCTTCTTCGTCACGCAGAACCCGCTCGACGTGCCGGAAACGGTGCTGTCGCAACTGGGCAACCGCATCCAGCATGCATTGCGCGCCTACACGCCGCGGGAGCAGCGCGCGGTCAAGACGGCGGCCGACACCTTCCGGCCCAATCCCGACTTCGACAGTTTCAAGGTGATTACCCAACTCGGCGTCGGCGAGGCGCTGGTCTCGACGCTCGAGAAGAAGGGCGTGCCGGGTATCGTTCAGCGCACGCTGATCCGTCCGCCGTCCTCGCGTCTGGGCCCGCTTGAGGATGGCGAGCGCGCGGATGTCGTCAGGCAGAGCCCGATCATGGGCCAGTACGACGAAACGCTGGACCGGGATTCGGCCTTCGAGATGCTGGCGCGCCGCGCCCAGGAGGAAGCCCGCGCGGAAGAGGAAGCGCGCCGGCGCGAGGAAGAGGAAGAGCGCCGCGAAGAGGAGGAGGAGAGGCGTGAACGCGAGCGCGAACGCAGCGCGCGGTCGCAGTGGCGCCTGCCGGACTATGACGATGATGACGGCTATTCCGGCCGCCGCCGGTCGAGCCGCAGTTCAAAATCGCGCAGCCGCCGAAGTTCCGGCCGGCGCCGCAGCTACAAGCGCCAGACCGTCACCGAAGCGGCGGTCAAATCTGTCGTGCGCAGCGTCTCGACGCAGCTTGGCCGTGCGATCGCTCGTGGCATCCTCGGCGGCATCAAGCGCGGCTTTTGACTGGCTGGAGCTGATCTTTCGCCAACAAAAAAGGAGCGCCGCCAGCGCCCCCTTCTTCTTGTCGGCCTTGCCGTGAGCGGTCAGCGCACGACGATCGGCGTACCTTCCGGAACACGGCTGTAAAGGTCGATCACGTCCTGGTTCATCAGCCGCACGCAGCCCGATGAAACCGATTGGCCGATCGATGTCCATTGCGGGTTGCCATGCAGCCGGTAGAGCGTGTCCTTGCCGTCCTGATAGATGTAGAGCGCGCGGGCACCGAGCGGATTGGTGATGCCCGGATCCATCCCGCCTTCCCATACATTGTCGCCGTCTTTGTCGCTGGCGCGATAGCGCTCCAGTTCAGGTTCGCGATCGATCATCTCATCAGGGGGAAACCATCTTGGCCAACGCCGGCGCGCGCCGACCTCCGCCCGTCCCGACCATTCAAATCCCGCGCGACCCAAGCCGACGCCGTAACGGATCGCATTGCCATTTCCGAGCGCCAGGAAAAGGAAATGTTGCCGGGTATCGACGACAACGGTTCCCGGCGCTTCGCGTGTCGTGTCCCGCACAACTTGCCGCAGATAACGTTCCGGCACGCGCTCATAGGGGATGGCCGGAATGGTGAAGCCGCCATCCCGTTTGGTGGCGTACATTTCCTCGAACGGGGGAAAGCGCGGTTCGGGTCCGAACGGCATCGTGCCGGTGCGCAGGGGCGACTGGCTACGCGGTGGTGCAAGCGTAATTGGCGGCGCGGCGCTTTCCGGCGGCGGCGTCTGGGTGCATGCGGCGGTCGCCGCCAAGGGTGCCAGGGCCGAAAGACCGAGAAATTGCCTGCGAGATGTACGAATCATGACGGACCCCACGATGAAAAACCCCGCTCTCTGCTACGGCAGCGTTCGCCGGTTGGGAAGTTGCCGGCACTCCGAAACGCCTCTGCTTCACGGCTCTGTGAGCGCTTTTGCCGCCTTTGGCTCACAGCGTTGCAAAGCTGCAACATATTGCCGCTTACAATTCGTCGAGCGAACCGATGACCCGTTTGGGCGCATATTTCGCATATTCGTCCGGCGCGCCGCTGCGATTGATCCAGACCGGATGAAAACCGAACTTGCAGGCGCCTGCGATGTCCCATCGGTTGGATGAGACGAACACGATCTTTTTCGGCTTGGCGTCCCAGGCGTCGGTCACCATCCGGTAGGTTTCAGGCGCGGTCTTGAACACCTTGACCGCATCGACGGAGAATGTGTCGTCTATCAATGTGTCGAGCTTTGCCGAGCGGATGGCCGCCGTCACCATCTCCGGCGAGCCGTTGGAAAGGATCGCCGTGCGCGCCCCGTCGCGCCGCAGCCGCTCGAGTGTCGGGCTGACGTCTGCATAGGCATCGAGTGTCCAATAGGCATCGAGAAGGGCCGATCGCAGCGCATCGTTGCCGACACCGTGCAGCGCCAGCGCGTAATCGAGTGCTTCTTCGGTCAGCCGCCAGAAGTCCGAATAGCTGCCCATCAGCCCGCGCACCCAGGAATATTCGAGCTGCTTGGTCCGCCAGGTCGCCGACACCGCCTCCCATCGATCGCCCAGTGCCCTGGCATGGGCGCGCATCGCCGCATGGACGTCGAACAGGGTTCCATAGGCGTCGAACACGTAGCCGGTGGGGGTCATCTTGATCCGTCGCGTTGCAGGCGGACGCATCATCGTGCAATCGCCGGCCCCGTCAAGTCGTCCGCGTTGACGCAATAGCCAAAACCGGTCAATGCGTAAGCGAGACGAAGGGAGCGACCCATGGCGACGATACCACCGGCGCAAAGCCAGACTTGGACCCATGTCGATGGCGACTGGCATGAGGGCAATGTGCCGATCATGGGTGCGCGCACGCATGCGGTATGGCTTGGGTCGTCCGTGTTCGACGGCGCGCGCTGGTTCGAGGGCGTTGCGCCGGACCTCGATCTGCATTGCCAGCGCGTCAACGCATCGGCGCTGGCGCTCGGTCTTCAGCCGACCATGGAGCCGGACGCCATGGCGGCGTTGACCATGGAGGGCATCAGGAAGTTCGACGGCAACACCGCCGTCTATATTCGCCCGACCTATTGGGCCGAGCATGGCGGCTACATGTCGGTGCCCGCCGATCCCGCATCGACGCGCTTTGCCCTTTGCCTGTTCGAGGCGCCGATGATCGCTCCCCAGGGCTTTTCGGTCACCGTCTCGCCGTTCCGGCGGCCGACGATCGAGACCATGCCGACCAATGCCAAGGCCGGCTGTCTCTACCCCAACAATGGCCGCGCGATCATGGAAGCGCGCGCGCGCGGTTTCGACAATTGCCTGGTGCGGGACATGCTCGGAAATGTGTGCGAAACGGCGACCTCCAACGTCTTCCTGGTCAAGGACGGGCAGGTGATGACGCCGGCGCCCAACCGCACCTTCCTGTCCGGAATCACACGCAACCGCATCATCGATCTCCTGTGGCAATATGGCTTCAAGACCGCCGAAAGGGCGTTGACGGTCGAGGACTTCATGGATGCCGACGAGATCTTTTCGACCGGGAACCACTCCAAGGTCGTGCCCGTTGTGCAGATCGAGGATCGCGAGTTGCAGCCCGGACCGGTGGGCAAGAAAGCACGCGAACTCTACTGGGAATGGGCGCACGGCTGATCGCCGGGCGCACCCTTCCCGAGGTCGAAATCGGCAGTCGTCCGCTTGCCGAATTCGGTCTTGAAGTCTACATCAGCGGTCAGGATTTGCGCGCCATCCGGACCCGTCCCGCGCAAGTCCGATCATCCGACGGAGAGGACCCCGACCATGGCTTTTGAACTTCCCGACCTTCCCTATGATTACGACGCGCTCGCGCCCTACATGTCGCGCGAAACGCTCGAATTCCATCACGACAAGCACCACCAAGCCTACGTAACCAAAGGCAACGAACTGGCTGCAGAAGCGGGCATGGACGGGCTTTCTCTCGAGGAAATCGTCAAGCAGTCGCATGGCAAGAACCCGGGCCTGTTCAACAATGCCGGCCAGCATTACAATCACATCCACTTCTGGAAATGGATGAAGAAGGGCGGTGGCGGCACGTCGCTGCCGGGCAAGCTGCAGAGCGCGATCGACAGCGATCTGGGCGGCTATGACAAGTTCAAGGCCGATTTCGTCGCCGCCGGCGTTGGCCAGTTCGGGTCGGGCTGGGCCTGGATCGCCGTCAAGGACGGAAAACTTGAAATCATGAAAACGCCGAACGGCGAGAACCCGCTGGTCCATGGCGCGCAGCCGATCCTCGGCGTAGATGTGTGGGAGCATTCCTACTATATCGACTACCGCAACGCCCGGCCGAAATATCTCGAAGCCTTCATCGACAACCTCATCAACTGGGACCATGTCCTTGAAATGTATGAAGCTGCGACGAGCTGACCGGACAAAAGCCGGCCTGAATGCCTGAATGATGTGAAGCCCGGCCGCTGTGCCGGGTTTTTCGTTACGAACTGTTCACAATAACGCGTCTTGATTTTCGCTCTCCGGTTGCATCTTCTTCTTTGCGATGCGGGCTTCGGCTCGCCGCAAAAAGCATCCGGAGGAAAACAGATGTTGCTGAGAACCTTGACGATCGCCGCGACCATGTTGGCCACTGGCGCGACGGTGTCGATCGCGCAGGACGATCCGATCGCCGAACGCCAGGAGACCATGAAGACGATGGGCCGTTCGATGCGCGTGCTGGTTCCGATGGCGCGCGGTCAGGCGGATTACGATGCGGAGGCGGCGCTCGCTGCTTTCGTCCAGATGAACGATGCGGCGCAAAATTATGGCGATCTGTTTCCCGAAGGCTCGGAAACGGGCGGTGACACGCGCGCCAAACCGGAGATCTGGTCCGATCGTGAGGGCTTCGATGCCGCCGTGGCCGCCTTCAAGGACGACCTCGCCATGGCGGTTTCGGCCGACATCGGCAGCCTCGACGCGTTCCGTCCGGTGTTCGGCGCCGTTGCGCAGAATTGCGGCGACTGCCACGAAGACTATCAGGTTCCCGAGAACTGATCGTCCGAAGGCTCTTGGCTCCGATCTTGCCGGCGGTGCCTGGAGCCCGCCGGCAAACAGCTTTTTGTGAGGCACGGTGCGTCGTCTGACGATTTGGATGGTCTTGATTGCCACGGCGGGCGTGGCTGCGTTCTGGCTGCTGTCCGCGCCCGTTCGGCTTGCTGCAACCGATCTGGCTGTCTTCGAAGCGCACGAACCCGATCTCGCCAACGGCGAGAACCTCTTCTGGGCGGGCGGCTGTGCATCCTGTCATGCAGCGCCCGATGGCGAAGGCGACGCCCGTTCAATCCTGTCCGGTGGTCTGGCTCTCGAAAGCCCTTATGGCGTGTTCGGCGTTCCGGGCATTTCGCCCGATCCCGATACCGGCATTGGCGGCTGGTCCTTTTACGATTTCGCCAATGCGATGAAGCGCGGCGTGGCTCCGGACGGGCGCCACTATTATCCATCCTTCCCCTATGCGTCCTATGCGAAGATGCCGCTGACGGACCTCGCCGACCTCTGGGCCTATCTGAAGACCCTGCCGGTTCCCGACAGCGCAGCCGAGATACCCCAAACGCAACTTTCCTTTCCTTTCAATATGCGCCGCGGCATCGGCCTTTGGAAACGCGTCTATCTGGAAGAGGCTCCGGTCGTCGCCGACGATGCGCTGGGCGATGACCCCGTTCTGACGCGCGGCCGCTATCTGGTCGAAGGTCCGGGCCATTGCGGCGAGTGCCACACGCCGCGAAACATCGGGTTGGCCATGGACGGTTCGCGCTGGCTCGCCGGTGCGCCCAATCCCGAAGGCGAGGGGCGCGTGCCCAACATTACCGGGCATGCCGACGGTTTGGCGGGCTGGACCGAGGACGACATCGCCTACGGCCTCGAATCGGGCTTCACGCCGGCGTTCGACTCGATGGGCGGTTCGATGGCTTCAGTCGTCAAGAACCTCGCCAACGCGGCCGCCGAAGACCGCGCGGCCATCGCGGCCTACCTCAAGGCGATTCCCGAGATACCTGACGGGTGAGGGGCCGTATCAGCCCGCCTTGCCCACGGTCTTGAGCGCGAACGCATAGACCTCGGCGATCTCCTCGAGCCGCGAGAAGCGTCCCGACGCGCCGCCATGGCCAGCGCCCATATTGGTCTTCAGCATGACAGGCGCGTCCGATGTCGAATGGTCGCGCAGCTTCGCCACCCATTTGGCCGGTTCCCAATAGGTCACGCGCGGGTCGGTGAGCCCGGCGACGGCGAGCACGGGCGGGTAGGGCAGGGCGCCCACATTGTCATAGGGACTATAGGCGGCGATGGTCTGGTAATCGGATTCCGATGCGATCGGATTGCCCCATTCGGGCCATTCGGGCGGCGTCAGCGGCAGCGTGTCGTCGAGCATCGTCGTCAGCACATCGACGAACGGCACTTCCGCGATGATGGCGCCGAACGCCTCGGGCGCCATGTTCATGACGGCGCCCATCAGCAGGCCGCCCGCCGAACCGCCCTGCGCGACGATCCTGTCGGGCGCGGTATAGCCTTCATCGGCGAGATGCCTTGCGACGGCAACGAAATCCTTGAACGTATTGGTCTTCGCCTCTCGCTTGCCGTCTTCATACCAGGCAAAGCCCTTGTCCTTGCCGCCGCGAATGTGGGCGATGGCATAGACAAACCCCCGGTCCACCAGCGACAGGCAGTTGGTGTTGAAGGAAGCGGGGATGGTGATGCCGTAGGAGCCGTAGCCATAGAGCAGACAAGGCGCGGAACCGTCGAGCGGCGTCCCGGCCTTCATCACCAGCGACACCGGTACCAGTGCCCCGTCATGCGATGTCACCTGAAGCCGCCGTGTCACATAGGCGTCCGGATCGTGGCCGCTCGGCACTTCCTGTGTCTTCAGAAGCGTGCGTTCACCGGTCGTCATATTGTAGTCGAAAACCTGGCTGGGCGTCGTCATCGACGAATAGGTGAAGCGGATGACGTCCGTGTCATATTCATACGAGCCCTGTAGCCCCAGCGCATAGGCCTCCTCGTCAAAGGCGATGTGATGCACCTCGCCGGACCGGCGGTCCATGATCGCGATGCGCGGCAGGCCGTCCTCGCGCTCCAGCCAGACCAGATGACGCGCGTAGGCCTGATGGCTGAGGATCAGCCGCCCGGGCTGATGCGGCACGATTTCGGACCAGTTCGCCTTTTGCGGCGCATCGACCGGTGCCGTCGCGATCTTGAAGTCCTTGGCGCCGTCGGCATTGGTCAGGATGAAGAAGACTTCGCCGCCTTCCTCCAGCTCATATTCGATGCCCTGGACGCGCGGCTCGACCATGACCGGCGCCGCGGCCGGATCGTCGGCTTTCAACAGTCGGAACTCGCTGGTTTCGTGGTCGTGAATGTTGATGAAGACGAAATCGTTGAGGCGGCTCTGGCCGACGCCCATGAAGAAGCCCGGATCGGTTTCTTCATAGATCAGCCGGTCTTCGGCCTGTGTCGTCCCAAGCCGGTGATAGAAGAGTTTGGACGGGCGGTGGTTCTCGTCCATCCGCGTATAGAAGAAGCCTTCCGCCCCGGCATCGAAAACGCCGCCGCCGGACGTGTCTTCGACGGTGTCGTCAAGATCGTCGAGCGTTGCCAGATCGCGGACGCGGCAGGTGAAATATTCCGAACCTTTGTCGTCAAAGGCCCACAAGAGCTTGCCGTGATCGGCCGAATGGTCGGCGCCGCCGAGCCGGAAATAGTCCTTGCCGTCCGCCTCCTTGTCGCCGTCGAGCAGGATCGCGCGCTCGCCGTCGGGTGTCTTGCGCGGGACGCGGTAGAAGCGCGGCTGCTGCCCGCCGGTCTTGTATGACGATCCGTATGCCCACGGCCCGTCCGGCGCCGGCACGCTTTCATCGTCTTCCTTGATGCGTCCCTTCATCTCGGCGAACAGCGTCTTCTGCAGCTCTTCCGTGTCGGCCATCAACACTTTCTGATAGGCGTTCTCGGCCTCCAGATGATCGCGAATATCACTGGCCAGCACGGAGGGGTCCTTGAACACAGCCTGCCAATTGTCCGCACGCAGCCAGGCATAATCGTCATTGCGGGTAATCCCGTGCCGCGTGTCGGCGATGGGGCGTTTTTCTGCTGCCGGTGGTGTCATATCGGTCTGAAAGGGCATGTCGGTCCGAAAGGGATTGGGCATGGTGGGTCCGCTGTGCTTTTGTCGCGCTTCTAGGTACGCTGCCGCGCGGTGATTGCAATCGCGCCGGAAAGAAATTCGTTCGGGAGGTGAGCCGATGGCTTTGACGTTTTACACAAACCCGATGAGCCGCGCCCAGATCGCCCGCTGGGCGCTTCACGAGGTCGGTGCCGATTACCAGGAGCGCATTCTGGGCTTCGGCGCCGAGATGAAGAGCGCCGACTATCTGGCGGTCAATCCGATGGGCAAGGTCCCGGCCATTGTTCATGACGACACCATTGTCACCGAGGCGGCCGCTATCTGTCTCTATCTGACCGAGGCTTTCCCGGAGGCGGGTCTTGCGCCACAGACGCGAACCGAGAAGGCCGACTGCTATCGCTGGATGTTTTTTGCGGCCGGTCCCGTCGAACAGGCCATTACGTCGCACGCCATGAAATGGGACGAGGGCCTGGACGCCAAAAAATCGGCAACGCTCGGTTTCGGCACCTACGATGCCGTTGTCCACACGCTGTCCGCTTTCCTGGAAGGCCGCGACTATGTGTGCGGCGGTCGCTTCACGGCAGCCGATCTCTATGTCGGCGCACAGGTAGACTGGGGTCTGCAATTCGGCACGATGCCATCCACGCCGGCTTTCGAAACCTATGCCGCACGGCTGCGGGAGCGTTCCGCCTACAAGGCCGCCAGGAAAATCGACGCTGATGTAATCGCGGCAATGCAGGCGGAGACCAGCACTTGACCGGCGCGTCGCACCCAGATCGACCGATCGTTGTCCGCGCTTCAGCGATACCATGTGCCGTGCCGCGGCCAAACAGTTTTGCCGCAGCGCGGGGGCGCAAACGGCCCGGTTGTGTGCGAAAATCGGTAAAATCGGACGGGCATGATCTTGCCTAGCCATCACTTCCCGCCTAAATCCGGCGCAAATAACAACAATCACGCCGCTTTTTTGTCCCGCGCAGAAAAGACAACCTACGCCAAGACCTCATGGATCTGACGTTTCTCGCCTTTTTTGCGCCCTTCATCGCGGCCGCGTTTGCACCTGTTCTGGTCAGGCTTCTTGGTCACAATGCCGCCTGGGTCCTGGCCCTGGTTCCTGCGCTCATCTTCGTCCACTTTGCCGGCTTTCTGCCCCAAGTGGCCGAGGGCGGCAGGGTGACGGGCGGCGTTCAGTGGATTCCGTCCTTCAACGTCAATTTCTCCTGGCTGATCGACGGCCTGTCCCTGACCTTTGCCCTTTTGATCTCGGGCATCGGCACGCTGATCGTTCTTTATGCGGGCGGCTACATGAAGGGCCATCCGCAGCAGGGCCGGTTCCTCTGCTTCATCCTGATGTTCATGGGCGCGATGCAGGGGCTGGTCCTGTCGGACTCCTTCTTCATGTTCTTCGTGTTTTGGGAGCTGACCTCGATCACCTCGTTCCTGCTGATCGGGTTCAACCACAATGCCGAGCGCTCGCGCCGCGCTGCGATGCAGGCGCTTGTGGTCACCGGCGGCGGCGGGCTGATCCTGCTGGCAGGTCTCATCTTCCTGTGGAACATGACGGGCGTCAGCGAGTTCTCGCTGCTCTTGGGCACCGGCGATCTGGTGCGCGAAAGCCCGTTCTATCTGGCGGCGCTGATCCTCGTGCTTGGCGGCGCCTTCACCAAGTCGGCGCAGTTCCCGCTGCATTTCTGGTTGCCAAACGCGATGGAGGCGCCGACGCCCGTGTCGGCCTATCTGCACTCGGCGACCATGGTCAAAGCCGGCGTCTACCTTCTGATGCGGCTCAATCCGGTGCTTGGCGACACGATTGCCTGGGAAACCATTTTGCCGCTGTTCGGCGGCGCGACGCTGCTTGTGGGCACCTTCCTTGCCGTGCGCCAGACCGACCTCAAGCTGATGCTCGCCTATACGACCGTGGCCTCGCTCGGCCTTCTGGTCATGCTCACCGGCTTCGGCACCGAAAAGGCGATCGAAGGCGCGGTCCTCTATCTGGTCGCGCATTCGCTGTTCAAGGGTGCGCTGTTCATGGTGGCCGGCAATGTCGACCACGAGGCCGGCACCCGCGACGTGACCAGGCTCGGCGGACTTTTGGCGGCCATGCCGATCACCTTCGGCGCCGCGATCCTGTCGGCCTTCTCGATGGCCGGCCTGCCGCCCTTCGTCGGGTTCCTCGCAAAGGAGGAGATTTATTACGGCATCGCCGCGTCCGATCCCTGGTCGATCTTCATCACCACCGTTGCGATCGTCGGCAATGCGCTGATGTTGGTGATCGGCTTTGCCGTCGCCGTCAAACCGTTCCTCGGCCCCAAGGTCGAAACGCCCAAATCCGCGCACGAGGCGCCGCTTTTGATGTATGCCGGGCCGGTTTTGCTGGCCGCGCTGAGCCTTGCTGCCGCCCTCTGGTCGGGTCTGTTCCACCAGTTCATTTCAAGCCCGATGGCATCGGCTGTCGCCGGTGCGCCGCTTGAGATCACCATCTCCATCATCCCCAAGCCCGGCATCGCGCTGACGCTGTCGATCGTCACCATTGCAATCGGCGCCATACTCTATTTCGGACTGGCCCGTCTGCGCGCTGCAATGGCGGCCTCGCTCAAGGCGATCGGCTGGGGTCCCGACCAAGGGTTCGACCAGTTCATGCGCGGGCTGGTTCGCCTGTCTGTCGTTCTGACGCGCACGCTGCAGAACGGCCGCATGGAATTCTACATGACGGCGACCTTCGTGCTGCTGGCCCTGTGGCTGTTCCGGACCATGTTCGTCGCCGACGAGTGGCCCGCGGTTCCGGCCTTCCCGGTCCTGTCCATCTATGAGTGGGTCACCGTTTCCATCATCGCCATCGGCCTGATTGCGGTCGTGCGTGCCAAGAACCGCCTGACGGCGATCGTCTCGCTCGGTATTCAGGGTTTCGCCGTCGCGATCCTGTTCATGCTGATGGGCGCGCCGGACCTGTCCTTCACCCAGTTCATGGTCGAGACGCTGACCGTGGTCATCCTGGCGCTTGCCATGACGCGGCTGCGCCTGTCGCCGCAGGATCATCGCTCCGCCGGCCAGACGGTGCTCGACGGCACCATCGCCATCGCCTGCGGCGTTGCGCTGACCTTCATCCTGCTGCAGATCCTGCAGACGCCGTTCGACCGGACGCTGACCGAGTTCTTCAATCTCTACTCCTATTCGCTCGCCCAGGGCCGCAATATCGTCAACGTGATCCTCGTCGACTTCCGCGGGGTGGATACGTTCGGCGAGATCGGCGTCGTCATGGTGGCCGGATTGGCGATTCTCGCCCTTCTGCGGATCGTGCCCAAGCGGTCGCTGGGCAGCGCGCCGGCGCCGCGCGTGCCCGCGCCCGAACCCGTCGCCGTGGGCAAGGAGTGAGCCGATGCGCACCTTGATCTTCCGGGCAACCGCTCCGTACCTGACCGCGCTGATGCTGCTCTATTCGATCTTCGTCCTGTTGCGCGGGCACAACGAACCCGGTGGCGGCTTTATCGGCGGACTGATCGCCGCATCGGCGCTGGCCATCTACGGCATCGCCTGCGGCGTTTCGCCGGTGCGGCGCGCGATCCGCTATCATCCGATGGCGATTTCCGGGTTTGGCCTGTTCCTTGGTGCGATCGCCGGGATGTTCTCGCTGTTTGCCGGCGTGCCCTACATGACGGGTCTTTGGATCTACCCGACCGTTTTCGGCGTTGAACTGAAGCTTTCCACGACGCTGATCTTCGACATCGGCGTCTATCTGGTCGTGCTCGGTGCCATCACCTCCATCGCGCTCGCGTTGGAAGAAAAGGAGCGCGACTGATGGAAACCGCCGTTGCGGTCCTGACCGGCCTTTATTTTGCGGTCTCGATCTATCTGATGCTGTCGCGGCACATCATCCGCATCCTGCTGGGCACGGTGACCCTGTCGACCGGTGCGAACCTGACGATCTTCGCAATGGGACGCATCACACGGGAAGTGCCGCCGATCATCCCCAGCGGCCTTTATCTGCCGGCCGAGGGCGCCGCCAACGCGCTGCCGCAGGCGCTTGTCCTGACCGCGATCGTGATCGCCTTTTCCCTGTTCGCCTTCCTGCTCGTGCTCGTCATGCGCTCCTATCAGGAGCTTGGCACCGACGACACGTACGCCATGCGCGACGCTGAACCCGAGGGCGAGCCGCTGCCGCCGCTCGGCTACTGAATTCAAGGACACCCGACCCGATGGCCGCCGCCGAAAGACCTGCGATCGACCCAGCCGACGCCTTCGTCATGGAGGCGCCCGCACTTGCCGACTGGCTGATCGTGATGCCGCTCGTCATCGGCTTCATCTTCGCCGCGCTTTGCCTGATGACCCGCAAGGACACCAGACGGCAGCCGGCGATTGCGATCACCGGACTTGTCCTGATCCTGCTGTGTGTCGTCGGCCTTTTCGTCCATGTGCTCGTCAACGGCACGGTCGTGATGGCCATGGGGCGCTGGCTGCCGCCCTTCGGCATCGCATTCGTTGCCGACATGCTGGGCGCGACGCTTGCGCTGATCAGCGGCATTGTCGGGTTGGCGACCGGCATCTACGCCTTGCGCGAGGCCGACAACACCGAACGGCGCTACGGCTTCTACCCGTTCCTTCTGATGATGTTGTCGGGCGTGATCTGCGCCTTCCTGACGGGCGACATCTTCAACCTCTATGTCTGGTTCGAAGTGCTGCTGCTCGGCTCGTTCGGCCTCCTGATCCTGGGTTCGAGGCGTGACCAGCTCGACGGCGCGACCAAGTACGCGTTTTTGAACCTGGTTGCGACGACGCTGTTCCTGATCGCCGTGGCCTATGTCTACGGCCTGTTCGGAACGCTCAACATGGCCGACATCGCGCGCAAGGCGGCCGTGATGGACGAGGTCGGGCCGCGCCTGACGATCGCCGCGCTGTTCTTCTTTGCCTTTGCGATGAAGGCGGCCGCGTTCCCGCTCAACTTCTGGCTGCCGGCCTCCTATCACACGCCGCGGCTGGCGGTCGGCGCGATCTTTGCCGGTCTCCTGACCAAGGTTGGCGTCTATGCGCTGCTGCGCATTCTTCTGACGATCTTTCCGGCCGACCGCGACGATCTGGCCGTGGCGATCGCCGTCGTTGCCGCCGCATCGATGCTGCTCGGCGCGATTGGTGCGCTCGCCCAGACCGACATGCGCCGCGTTCTGGGTTATCTGGTGATTTCCGGGATCGGCATCATGCTGGCCGGCCTGGCGCTCGGCAGTGCAACGGGCCTGTCGGGGACGGCATTCTACACCGCCCATTCGATGGTCGTCATGACCGCGCTTTATCTCTTGGTCGGCATTGTCGGCGCGGCGGCCGGCACGTTCGATCTTCATCGCGCAGGCGGTCTTTATGCAACCGCACCCTGGCTGGCGGTCGTCGCGCTGGTCTTGGCCTTTTCCGTCTCGGGCCTGCCGCCCTTTTCCGGCCTCTGGCCGAAGATCTTTCTGGTCAAGGCTTCGATCGACGTCGGCGCCTGGTGGCTGGCCGCCGCGATCCTCGTCTCCGGTTTCCTGACCACGATCGCCATTGTGCGGCTGTTCGCTTTCGCCTTCTGGCGCCCCGCCCATCCCGACATGCGGTCGCTGTCGCTTGCCGAAGTGCCGGTCGCGCGGCTGGGCCTGCCGGTCCTGGCCGGCCTGTGCGGCCTGACCGTCATCGCAGGCCTTTACCCCGAACCGTTCATCCAGGTGTCCGACCGGATCGCGTTCGAATTGATGAACCCGGCTGGCTATATTGACGCGGTCTACGCGCCGATGCCGGCCGCAGCGGAAGGAGCCGTGCAGTGAACCTGTTTCTCGCCAACATCCTTCTCGCCCTGTCCTGGGCGGCCGTCTCCGGCAGCTTCGCGCTGATCAACATCCTGTTCGGATTTGCGCTCGGCGCATTGGCGTTGACCATCATCCAGGAACAGGTCGGCTCGGTCGGCTATCTGTCGCGGCTTTACCGCATCATCTCGCTGCTGCTGCTGTTCGTCTACGAACTGATCCTGTCGGCCACGCGTGTGGCCATTCTTGTGCTGTCGCCGAACATGAAGCTGAAACCGGGCATTCTGGCCTATCCGCTCAAGGTCGACCGCGATCTGGAAATCACGGTTCTGGCCAATCTGATCACGCTGACGCCGGGCACGCTGTCGGTGGATGTCTCCGCCGATCGCAAGACGCTCTACATCCATGCGCTGGATTGTTCGGACCCCGACAGCATACGCGCCGACATCGCCGACGGCTTCGAGCGCAAGATATTGGAGGCCTTCCGCTGATGGGTGCCGCCGAGTTTCTCGACTGGTCGGTGCAGATCGCCTTGGTGATTCTCAGCCTGGCGTTCCTGGGCACCGTGTTCAAGGTGATCCGCGGGCCGACGCTGCCCGACCGGATTCTTGCGCTCGACATGCTGGTGGCGACCGCCATCGGCTTTATAGCGGCCATCGGCATCAAGACGGGTTTCACGCTTTACGTCGATATCGCGATCACGCTGGGCCTTGTCGGTTTTCTGGCGACGGTTGCGTTTGCCCGGTTCGTTCTGACCCGTGGCCGCAGCGAGAACGATGGGCCGAGCGAAGACGACGACATGACGCAGGACGCGGTGATCATGCCCGATGCCGCGCAATTTTCCGAAATTGGCGAGGCGAAGAAGAAATGACTGAATTGGCTCCAATTATTGCCGGTCTACTTGTTCTCGTCGGATCGTTCTTTGCGCTGGTTGCGGTGATCGGTCTCTGGCGGCTGCCTGATATCTACACGCGGTCCCACGCGGCCTCGAAAACCGGCACGCTGGGCTCGGGTCTGGTGCTGATCGCGCTCGCCGTTCATGCGGGCGACGCGGGCACGACGAGCCGGGCACTCGCAGGCGTGGTCTTCTTCCTGTTGACCGCGCCGATCGCCGCGCACCTTCTGGCGCGCGCGGCATACGCTGTGGGCTATCCGCTGACCAAGGACAGTGTGCGCGACGATCTGGCGAATCGCGATTGATGCCTGGAAGGCTCTGCAACCAAAGGTCGAATCAATACAATTGAACAACCTTTGGTGAAAGGTCGTGCCAGTCAATATGTCAATTCTTACGGTGCAAATACATAAATGTGTTTGGATGGCGCCAAAAAACGTTTGCATATTCGCTTAAATCATGAGAGGCCGTATCTTACGGGTGAGACTATATCAATAACAAGAACGAGGACTCCCTTGGATAACGATCAAAGACCTCACACAGACAACAACCTGCTGGTCGAACTGACCGCCGAAGTGGTTTCGGCTTATGTGGGCAACAATCCGGTTTCCGCATCCGACCTTCCTTCGTTGATCTCCCAGGTGCATTCGGCGCTTGGCAAGACGGGCGATGGCACCGAAAGCGGTCCGGCCGAAAAGCCCGTGCCGGCGGTGAACCCCAAGCGCTCAGTCACGCGCGACTACATCGTGTGCCTGGAAGACGGCAAGAAGTTCAAGTCGCTCAAGCGTCATCTCATGAGCCACTATGGCCTGACGCCGGAAGAGTACCGCGAGAAGTGGGGCCTTGCGCCCGACTATCCGATGGTTGCTCCGGCTTATGCCGAACAGCGCTCACGGCTGGCGCGCGAAATGGGTCTCGGCCGCAAGCCGGGTGCCAAAGTCAAGAAAAAGTAGCGCGCCAGGCGATGTGTCGGGTGGTCGTCCGAATGCTCGGATGACTGTCCGCCAGCGCGTTGCAGGCTGATCACGTACCGTGCCCATGACGGCGGGCTTCGATGTACGCCGCCACCATGTCGCGCACCGTTTTCAGGACAATATGGCGGTTCAGGTCGTATGACCAATGCCGGCCAAGACCCTTGTTGCGCTCGCGTATCAGACGGCGGTCGAGCGCGCGCAGATGCTCGCCCAGCTCAACCGGACTGGCATCATCCAGATCCCGGTGCCGCACACCGATAACCCGGTATATCATCCAGTCCGCTTCGCCTGCCGCCGGCGAAGTGTTTCCCGAACCGGCATTGTTCTGCACCGTCATGATCCCACCCGAGGCAAAAGAGTGGGTCACGATAAGAGGGCGCCGGAGACGTTCGATAAGTCGCCCCCGAACGTGCCGAGCCGATTTGGAAAACAAAGCGCAATCAACAATTTGTATTGCCCAGGTAAAATTTCCTATCAAACCTTGTCTGCATCAATATAAGAATTTATTCCTCAATATGGAGGTGATGATGCAAGGCTTGGAGCATGCCGGGGCCATTCGGTTCAGACGGGTATTCGCCGAGGCGGACGAGGTCGACTGGCCGTGTCCGGAAGACCATGACGTCACACACGCCTGCTCCACCCTGGCCGGTTCGCCCGCTGGCGAGGAGGCCGTTGCCGTCTGCGATGGCCTGATCGATCTGATCGCGGTTCTGTTCTCGGTCAGCGGACGTCATTTGCGGTCGCCGAAACGACACGGACGCGCCATTGCCCGCGTGCGCCAGATTGGCATGTACATCGCCCACACCACGCTGGGAATGCGCATGGTGGACGTGGCGACCGGCTTTGGACGCAACAAGAGCACGGTCATGTACGCCTGTCATCTGGTTGAGGACATGCGCGACGATCTCGAGTTCAACCAGATCGTCGCTCGCGTCGAGCAGATCGTTCGGGCCGCCTTCCATCTCGGGACATCGCGGGACGTCGGCAATGGCCGGTAACAGTCTTGCCAGGCGCGCCATGCGGCTGCTTGGCGCGCTTGACCGGCACGGGGCGGTTCCGGTTACCGATGGCGGCGCCGGGACCTGTGTGCTGCATCTGACCGATATCCGCGCCGTGCGCTGTCCCGCCGCGCAGTTTGAGGCGATGGTTCGCAAGGGTTGGCTCGATCTCTCCGCATGTCCTTCCACGGGGCGGACGCTGGCGTCGGTCAGCAACGATGGTCTTACCTGGCGCAAGCGGACGATGGCCGGCGGCGATTTCGCAGGCCAGCACCGGCAGGTCACGAGCACCGCAATCGACGGCCAATCGGGCCTCATCCGCAACAACGCCGAATCACCACTTGCGCGATTGGCGCGGCCCGGCGGTTCGCGGGGCGGAGCATGGCTTGAGCAGAGCCATCTGCTGGCGGGCGAACGATTGCGCTCCGACTTCGAGTTCGGTCAATTGGCAGCGTCCGTTTCCGTTTCGTGGGATCCGGCCCGCACCGTACGCGATGGCGGCGGCGCAAAAGGGCGGCAGGATCTGTCCGACCGTGCGCTTGATGCTCGCGCCCGGTTCAATCGCGCGCTTGACGCTGTCGGTCCCGAACTGGCCGGGCTTCTGGTGGATGTGTGTTGTTTTCTCAAGGGACTTGAGCAGGTGGAACTGGAGCGCAAATGGCCGCGCCGTTCGGCAAAGGTCGTGCTCAGAACGGCGCTTGAGGCTCTGGACAGGCACTACAATCCGCCACCGCCGGATGCGCCGCGACGCATGCGGCACTGGGGCGGGTCGGATTACCGCCCGCCCATGTGACCGGTGCGCCCCGCGCTCAGGCCGCGGCCATGCCGGCGGCCTCCGCCTTCATGCGTTCGACCATGGACCGAAGTCCGTTCGCACGCTGCGGCGTCAGGTGGCTGTCCAGGCCGATGCGCTTGAACAGGGCCTCGGCATCGAACGCAACGATGTCGTGCGACGGCTTTCCGGACAGCGCGCTGATCATGATCGCCACGAGACCGCGAACGATGTGGGCATCCGAATCGCCGCGAAAGTGCAGCGTTTCGCCCTCGCCGGGCTCGGCGACGACCCAAACCTGGCTGACGCAGCCATTGACCTTGTTTGCGGCGGTTTTCTCGCTGTCGTCCATATCGGGCAGTTCGCGTCCGAGCTCGATGACATAGCGGTACTTGTCCTCCCAATCGTCAAGGAGGTCGAAATCGTCGATGATCGTATCGATGGCACGTGTCATTGCGGACCCGGATGCGGACTTGGCTGCGTCCTACATATGGCCGTTGCCGACCAGCCTCAAGGGGCCGCTCGGCGCGCCAGGCTGTCCGGTGTCAGGCGCCTTCCTGGGGCGACTGCGCGGCTTCATCGCCCGCTTGCGCCCGCTCGATGAAGCCCGCCGCGATGACAAGCCCCTGATGCGCACGCGCCAGCGCCGCATCGGCGAGCGCCCGGCCGCTCTCGCAAAGCGCGGGTTGGCGCGTGCACAGCGAACCCATGTCTTCGGCCACCGCGCCGGCGAAGCGCGCCGCGTGGATCGATGTCTGGGCGTTCGTTCCGGCGTCGGCTGCGGCAATCGTGCCCGCTTCGTCTGCCGGAACAAGGCTCGGCAAGATCATCAGGCCCAGAAAGCCCCACACGGTCATTTTGAACGCAAAGCGGATCATCTCGTCGTCCCCGAAAGCGATTGTCCCGCAGACATTGTCGTCGAGAGCCGTGAAACGCTCGTGCCGGACCGCAGCTCGAATTTCGACAAATTCCGATAAAATGCCATTCATCTCGAAAAGTGGCGTGGGGTCAAAGGTTTGACGCCGATATCCATCCGTTAACCATATCCGTCAATTGGCAGGGGCTCGACCCTCAATCGCCTTTGTCCGGCGTTCTTGCGGGCTCCGGTTTATCCATTCGTAAACGGTGGCATGGGAGTGTCGGTCTGCCGTTGGGATTTGCGGTTGGGTGTTTGAGTATCGTGTTGCGTTTTCTCGAAAACAGTCCCGTCGACGACTGGGGTTGGGCTGCATCGGGTGGCCGCTTTGGCCGCCGGCTGATTGCTGCGCTGCTGGCTGCGGCCGTTTCCGGCGCCGCTGGAGGGCTGGTCCTGGCGGCGGCGTTCGGCAATGGCGATGCGCCATTGTCCCTGACCGTTGCGGCAATACTGTCGTCGTCGCTCTTTGCCTTGGGCGCCGTTTGGGCTGCCCGGGCGGCGATCGCTGTCAGGCAACCAGGCGGCGGCCCGCAAGCCAAGCCGGCATCGCCCGATAGCGTCGCGTCGAAACCGGCCTTGGCCCGGGCCGTTCACATCGACGAAAAGACGGTCGTTCGCAGGCGCTTTGACTTTCCCGACCGCATGGCCGGGCCACTGGCCGCCGGTGACCGCATGCTTGACCGCATCCATGTCGGTGATCGTGTCGCCTTCCTGCGCGCCGTGTCGCGCGCCTGTGTGCGCGATGCGGCCCCTGTGGGCCTCACCGTTCGCTTCGACCGCAGCGGCGCCGGCGATCGTCAGTCGCTGGAGCCGGCCGCTGTGATCCTGTCGCCGGATGCTTCGGGCGGGGTGCAGCTTCTGATCGCCTGCGATGTCGAACAGACGGCATTGAAAACGCAAACCGCGGCCGACCCCGAAGGCAGCCGCCTTGCCATGGTCAGCCACGAGTTGCGCACGCCGCTCAACGCGATCATCGGATTTGCCGATCTGGTTCGCGGCGATACGCTGGGTACCCTGCCGCCCGACCGTCAGCGCGATTATGCCGACCTGATCCATGATGCGGCCACCCACCTTCTTTCGGTCGTCAACGCCATGCTCGACGTTTCGAAGATCGGTGCGGGCCGATACGCGATCAATCGTGAAGCCTTCGATCTCGAGCGCACCGTTCGCGACGTGGCGAAAATGATCGCTCCGCGCGCCCAAGCCAGGGGCGTCCACGTCAATCTCCACATGGAGAAGACGGGCGCTCCCGCCCATGCCGACCGGCGCGCGGTCCGTCAGATCGTCACCAATCTGCTGACCAACGCGGTCAAGTTCACGCCTGAAAATGGCTGCGTGACGATCGATGCCGAGACGTCGCCCGATGCGCTCGTTCTGCGGGTTTCGGACACCGGGATCGGCATCGCGCCCGAGGACATCGACCAGCTGGGCCGGCCGTTTTCCCAGATCGACAATTCCTACACACGGCAATGCGAGGGAACAGGGCTCGGACTGTCTCTCGTCAAGGGCCTGGCAGCATTGCATGGCGGCACGATGCAAATCGAGAGCGCTCCGGAGATCGGCACGTGCGTGACCGTGATCCTGCCTCATGTCACCGCCGAAGCCGCGGCCAGCGGGAACACGGATGACCGGATCACCCCGCTAAGGCCGTCAAGCCCGGATCCGAACGAAGACAATGACAAGGAGATCGCCGATGCGCCGCGACTATTTGGCTGACATGGATGATCGTGACAGTGTGCTTGGCGAGCTGACGCACGGGCTGTGGCGCCTTGCCGTCCGGAATCGTCGGCCTGTTCTTGCCGGGCTCGGCGTTTTCGGCGTGGTCTCCTACGCCAGCATCAATGCGCTTTATCTGCAGGACGGCGCGCATCCCTCGGCTTTTTTCGAGACCCGCGATACGCTGACGGACAGACGCCACGCGCTTCGCAGTGACGAACGCACCACGGACGGCGGATCGCCGGAGCCATCGTCGGTCACCCGCATCGTTTTCAATGAAGATCCCTCCGACACGTCGGTGCCCGGCGCCGTTCCGCTGGCACGGCCGAGCGAGCGGGTGGCCGATTCCGCGACTGTCGAGCAGGTCGTGGCCGCACCACAAATCACGTCCACACAGCAGGACCCGACGGCCGAACTCCAGCAGATGCTGGCAGAGCTTGGCTTTTACGACGCAGCCGTCGATGGCATTGCCGGACCACGCACGCAAGCCGCCATCGAGGCCTACAAGACGAGCGTCGGCCTGCGCGGCATCGACCTGTCGGCCGACGAATTGCTGACCAGCCTGCGCAACAACATG